CAGGTAGTTAGGTAGGCAGGTAGATAGATAGGCAGGTAGATAGATAGGCAGGTAGAGAGGTAGGCCGGTAGATAGGTAGGCAGGTAGATAGGTAGGCAGGTAGATAGGTAAGGAGGTAGGCAGGTAGATAGGTAGGAAGGTAGATAGGTAGGGAGGTAGATAGGTAGGGAGGTAGATAGGTAGGGAGGTAGATAGGTAGGCAGGTAGATAGGTAGGGAGGTAGATAGGTAGGCAAGTAGATAGGTAGGCAGATAGGTAGGTAGGTAGGTAGATAGGTAGGGAGATAGATACGTAGGTAGGTAGGGAGGTAGATAGGTAGGTAGGTAGAGAGGTAGGCAGGTAGGGAGGTAGGGAGGTAGGCAAGTAGATAGGTAAATAGGTAGGCAGGTAGATAGGTAAGCAGGTAGATAGGTAGGCAGGTAGATAGGTAGGGAGGTAGATAGGTAGGGAGGTAGATAGGTAGAGAGGTAGATAGGCAGGTAGATAGGTAGGTAGGCAAGTAGATAGGTAGGGAGGTAGATAGATAGATAGGTAGAGAGGTAGGTAGGTAGATATGTAGGGAGGTAGAGAGGTAGAGAGGTAGATAGGTAGGGAGGTAGATAGGTAGGCAAGTAAATAGGTAGGAAGGTAGATAGGTAGGGAAGTAGATAGGTAGGAACGTAGATAGGTAGGCAGGTAGATAGGTAGGTAGAGAGGTAGATAGGTAGAGAGGTAGGCAGGTAAATAGGTAGGCATTAAGATAGGTAGGCAGGTAGTAAGGTAGACAGGTAGTAAAGTAGGCAGGTAGTTAGGTAGGCAGTTAGTAAGGTAGGCAGGTAGTAAGGTAGGCAGATAGTTAGGTAGGCAGGAAGTTAGGTAGGCAGGTAGGCAGATAGGTAGGTAGTAAGGTAGGCAGATAGTTAGGTAGCCAGGTAGTAAGGTAGGCATGTAATAAGGTAGGCAAATAGTTAGGTAAGCAGGTAGGCAGTTAGGTAGGTAGTAAGGTAGGCAGGTAGTTAGGTAGGCAGGTAGTAAGGTAGGCAGGTAGTAGGGTTGTTGGCGGTAACTGCATGCGCGTACTAGTATGTATTATGCGTAATTATAGCCTTTTACAGCTGTTTGATGATTTGGAACTTGAATTTTTGCGATAGAGAGCCTTTTTTTATGTAATTTGTAAATAATGAAATTTTTTTAAATAATGATTTTTTTCGGCGGCAGGTTTTGGAGCATGCGGGCGGTGGATGCAAATCGAAAACTTTCATTCTCATGGCTTTAGATTAAGGATCACGGACAACATTTTATAAAGGGTCGATTGGGCAAATGTCAGAATAAGACCAGACTGCACACACACAATGACACACCGTGTCACACGTTAGGTAAATAATATACATAGCGTGCTTTAACTCTACGACGGCCAATGGGTTTCATGTGGTTAAGTAAATATTCAGGCTAAGCGTAGGTAGGTAGCGCCGCTTATTTAACTGGTTTATCTTACTGAAGGAAAACGGGCGTCTGTCCAAAATGATATTAGGATTATTATTATTAATATACGCAGTGGGTACGCGTCCGGAACCGGTCGCCTAGCCTCCAGGCTACGCGTCCGAACATCCACTCACACAGCGATCGCGCGACTTGCGTACACGCATGATTGCGCAACGGGAGGCTCTGCTGCCGTCTATCCTTTCATTCGTCTTCTCTCGCTCTCTCTCTCTCTCTCTCTCTCTCACACACACACACACACACACACACACACACGGCAATCAGCAGAGCGTCCCATTGCGCAATCATGCGTGTACGTGTCGCAAGCTCACTGTGTTAGATGGATGTCCGGACGCGTAGCCTAGCGGCTCCTCGTCCAGAACCGGTCGCGTAGCCACGGCCTTATTATTATAGGACTAGTAGTAGTAAAAAACTGGTCTAAGATTAGAGATCCGGTCTCTAGAACATGTGAATTCTTCCTTATGCGTTACCTTCATGCGCACTTCGTAGTCTGAATATCTCGTCCTACCGATACCATATGCGTTTGTGGGTTGCAAATGTCTATTTCTAAAAAATTCGCCGGTGCCGCATACGCATCGTCTAAGGTTTGTTTCCAATAATAATAAATAATAGAACAAAAACACTAAACAAAAATAGAATAAAGACAAATGTTATCCTGCATGTGAATAATTTCTCTAGTGCGAAAAAGTATATAGCCTATTTACGACACCCTAGTCGTGACATTTTGCCCTCCCTAAAGGCCGGCGCACACGAGAGTTATTTTACTCATTCGTCATTTTACTTGAGTAAAATAACTCTCGTGTGCGCCGCGCTAAAGGCTAGCAGCACACTTCACCATTTTCGTTGCTCGTACAGGCAATTTTCGTGGTCGGCAATTTTTGTGGCCGTTGCCGCGTCACCGCACACTTCACCACAAGTTGCCACCACGAGCAATTTTCGTGGTGAGAAATCAAACCGGTTTGATTCTCGGCAACTCGTGGTCACCACTAAATTTCCGTGGTGAGTGGTCGTTGCCGGCCCCCGCACACTTGGCCATTTTTGTGGCGACCACGAAAATTGTCTGTACGAGCAACGAAAATGGCCAAGTGTGCGGGGGCCGGCAACGACCACTCACCACGGAAATTTAGTGGTGACCACGAGTTGCCGAGAATCAAACCGGTTTGATTTCTCACCACGAAAATTGCTCGTGTTGGCAACTTGTGGTGAAGTGTGCTGTGACGCGGCAACGGCCACAAAAATTGCCGACCACGAAAATTGCCTGTACGAGCAACGAAAATGGTGAAGTGTGCTGCTAGCTTAAGGCTTAAGGAATTTACTCTGGCTATGGCTCTGTCATAATACCGCGTGAGCTTCGTCATGACAACGAGAGACGTGGTGATTGTTTTGTTCTAAAAACAATAGAAACTAGCAATAATTTGCCAGCTGCTGCGGTTGGAATTCTATTACTTTGATTGTGTCATCATCATTATGATGACCTCATAAATAATAGCTTTCAAAGTCTAAGAGACTATATCGAAGACGGAGAGAGACAAAGTTGATCAAATAGACAGGTCAACACTCCGAATTGCACTAGTAAAGGTTTCAATATCTGGCCGTTTCAAACAGGAGAACGATACGAACGAGGAAGGAGAAGTCGGACGAGCAGTACCCGTTGACCCATTTCAAGTCACCGCGGTAGAAATTCCAGTAATAACTTCAATAACTGACTAAACCCACCCATCAATCATCGGAATGGTTCTCGTTGGAGATTCGACGCCACTGCAGAAAGAACCGCCATTTTGTAACATGGTCCAAGCATCACCTAACGGTAACTATACAGATATTTTAAAAACATGGATATGTACACGGATGTGTATGTTCAATAGACATCTATATGTTTGTTCAATAAACATTGGTTCCGTTGTATTACTATATATATTTTCCGTTGAAATATATTTAGAGGCACGCCCGACAACTCAGTCTCCCAAGTTATCATTTTACGGATTTACAAAGGCAGAGATGTAGTCTGTAAGAGATCATAAGAAGAGAAACAAGAGGAGCGAAAGATGGAGAGGGAGAGAGGGGAAAGAGAGAGGGGGAGAAGAGAGAGAAAAGAAGTGTGTGTGTGTGTGTGTGTGTGTGTGTATGTGCGTGCGTGCGTGCGTGAACATAGCTAGCGGGTGGAGGGGAGCATAAGGAGAAATTTATCACCCGGCCTTGGCAGCAGCAACAGCGAACTGTCCGCGGTTGCCTGTCTTGAACGCACCCCTTCCCCCATGTAGACTGAGTTAGCTGCGCGTTTGGTGTGTATATATTTCGTATGACGTCAACTTCCCCATGCGCAACACTAGCGCCGATCAGCGGCAACGAAAAATCCGTATAATTTCATTAGGAGTTGGAAAGGGAAACGGGATGTTGAGAAGATTCCTGTTGTTGTACGAGGAAGGCAACGCGTCTCGAAATTTTTCCAGGAAACAGAGATTACTATTATATATATATCTTATATTCTAATTATACTTTTTTGACATGCATGATTCCAAGAAAATGTAACTGCCATGAGTAGATAGTAGGCATGAGCACTAAAACATTTGACCCTATATAATCTTTTTCGAGTTTTAAGACCTGGAAACTTTTTTGCTTTACAATTACTGAAATGAGTCATTGGGATTAACATTTTTATATCCACCTACTCCTGGATATGCTCTCACTAACCTACATGTGTATAACTTCAATACAATTATATATGAATATATTTTGTATAGTATCATACACTACTTCTCATACGCGACACTGGCGCCGACCAACGGCAATGGAGAATGTACTGAATGTTGAGTAAATTGGGCTCCCTCTTATTATATAAAGGCCGCAATACGTCCGAAGTCCCTTATAGCAGCATATTCCCGAGTATGTCCTCTTCTTTTTAAATATATAATGCCAACAAATTGGGATATCTGTGAGCAGATAGTAGACACATCTGACCCTATAATCCATCGCACGTTTCAAGGAGGTTTGACCTTTTTTCTCCTTATAACTAAAGGACTGAGCCATAATTTGAAAGGTAGATAGGTAGATAGGTAGAGAGGTAGACAGGTAGATAGGTAGGCAGGTAGTTAGGTATAGGCAGGTAGGCAGTTGAGTAGGCAGGGAGTTAGGTAAGCAGTTAGTAAGGTAGGCAGTTAGTAAGGTAGGCAGATAGTTAGGTAGGCAGGTAGTTAGGTATACATGTGGTAGTTATGTAGTTAGGTAGGCAGTTAGTAAGATAGGCAGTTAGTAAGGTAGGGAGATTGTTAGGTATGCATGTGGTAGTCATGTAGTTAGGTAGGCAGGTAGTTAGGTAGGCAGGTAGTAAGGTAGGCAGGTAGTAAAGTAGGCAGGTAGTTAGGTAGGCAGGTAGTAACTAAGGTAGGCAGGTAGTTAGGTAGGCAAGTAGTAAGGTAGGCAGGTAGTTAGGTAGGCAAGTAGTAAGGTAGGCAAGTAGTAAGGTAGGCAGGTAGTTAGGTAGGCAGATAGTTAGGTAACCAGAAACAATGTCACAAGGTGAATTTAACGACAACATGGATTTATTTTTGCAAAGAAAATAATGTTTTTAACACATTCTGACCTTTGCGGCAACAATGAAATTGCAAGCCATAATGGCGATTGGATTCAAAATCAGTTTATACTGTAGGTGATTGGTAGCACACGCACCACCGTAACGGTACCTAACACGGGTAGTTAACAATGATTTGTCCGCTAGACACCGGGAAAGGTGCCGGTCAATAGAAAGCTTTGCCATAGAAAACTTTTTACACACAATAAACACAGCTGATAGCTGTGATGCAATTCCTAATATATATATAACAGTAGCATTTTAATCACATTCATCTTCCCGTGACATTCCATAAAAAACACAGACCAAATTATATATATATATATATATGTGTGTGTATATATATAAATGTCTATATGTCTATATATGTATATAAGAATAGCATTTAGCCTAAACCAACAACGATCTAGCTTCTGTTTGATCGCCAAAACAATTTTCACACACAGCATTGGTTTTGTCTTACTTCATAATACTAAGCGATGTTAAGAGACCAAATTGGGAATCGCAATCCAAATATACCATTTCCACACGCGATAGGAATACTGCACACCCACAATAACAAATATTCAGTATGTGTATGTGCGCGTGTGGGCGCGACTTACCGTCAATCCATCGATAGTTTAATCGAAAAACACCAATTTAACAAGTGTACAACAACCGCCTTGATTTGCTCTTCAGATCTTATCTTTTGTGTTAAGATGCAGCTCGCCATAATGTTTAGGACAGATTGTCCCCTGGGTCCGGGACAGCCAACCTTTGAGTAGGGGTTTACTAGACTTTATTTTCATGGATTTTACTAGAGGTTATATAGTAGAAATGAACACTTTCAATATCAAGACAGGCTGGGGTTTTCCTAACTTATTTCCAAGAATTGAACTATTGGCTATTATAGAAAGGCATGTGCTACTTCAACGAGTCCAAATAAACTTTTTTCATTTTTTAGAAAAAAAATGCCACAGTTTCACTGCTTTCGAGCACATGAATGTTACACGTCATCCTGCTATCCCAGACAACTGTACTTGCAATGCCGATTAGCTGCAACTTATTCAAGTTCTATGCATGGATTCAGTCGGTGTGCTGAAAAATCAAACCAACCTTCGCTAAAACGTAAAAGCGACGAAATCACAGCGACAAAGGTTACGGGTCATAGCGGCAAATTGTTTGCATCCATGGTTAGGTGTTGGATAGCGCCTCACAGACAGGTTTTGGGAGCACAAGAAAAAATGCCAGATATCTAAATCTGCCAGTAACACCTGCTGCGCTATTCGTACGGCTAAGTTAATAGACTATACTAGTCTCAATAACTCCCCGCTCGTAGCATGACCAGCTGCAGATAATATAACTTCTACTATCCGCTTCAGGTGTAATGCCCCAGATTTATAGCTTACATACATAACAAATCCTAACTGGCTAGAGTATACCGAAACTGCTGTACATCGACGAAATAATCTAGTCTGGATGGCAAAAATGTAATAAGCTAACAGGCAACTCAAACTCCTGGTTGAAGTGTAAACTGAGGATCGAGGCAACGAAGATGTCCGCCTGCTCGAAATTAATATGCTACACAACAGCTTCCCCAAAACGAAACTAGTTGCCAATTAATACATTACACGGTGATTGCTAACATTAATACTGCGTTGTCCTTCAATAGGACGACGAAACAGAGACCGTGACGCTGATTAAGTGTATCCTCAGACACAAAATAGTGACATGGGCGCGCACACACACAGTTAACACCACGCTGCAGCGCACACGCCATGCTGCGCTACGTAAATAACTGCAGCTCTCACCAGGTGGCGCCGGTAATCATCATGGAGAGAACAGACGCTTTTCTAACAATAGAACGAGCACTAGGACGACGGAGACACTGAAGGTAGTCACGGCCACACACCATGAGTGTCACCTAGGTTACAATGATAGGCAGGGGCAGAATGCACATCTGCCGCCCATTGATTTAATGTGATGCCACCAGGGGGCACCCCCTCGTCAGGCAGCGGAGCAGCGCCGTACGCGCCGCAATCGTTATTCTTGCATTCCGCCGCGTGCAGCAGGGGGCGCCACCACGGTGCCAGCCAGATAGAACGGGAACACAGGTGGCGTTTTCTGTGGTGGGCAGCCCGCGCAGAATGGGGGACAGCAACGAATACAAACGTTGCCCCCATCGCTCGGAAACCGTTGCGCCGACGCCCGGTCACTTGTTTCACGTGCGCACTACAACCCCGCGTGGCAGACTCGCCGCCGCCGCTGCCGCCGGCCGGAGTGTCACACGCTTCTCACCTTGCCTGGAACATAGTTCTTGTCTATGACGGCATCCTGCAGGAACATGTGCAAGCAGCGCTCATTCTGAGCGAGGGGATGACCAGCAATCCTGGAGCAGAGAGAGATGGAAGGCTCATGGAGCAAGCACAGTACAGTGTTTCCACGCACATACTCAGAGATACCAACACATATTTGAAGCAATCTGTAGTTTCTGGCCATCAAATTAGTAGTTCGAAGGTCACGTAGTGACCTGAGTTTGTTAGGGGGGTCCGGCATGCCCCCCGGAAATTTTTTTGATTCTGAGATGCAATTTCCTGCATTCTGAGGGTCAAAGATGACAATAAATTGACAAAGAATGACAATAATTGACAATAAAAAAAAAATTTCGATCACAGTGAAATTCGTAGTTTGATACACACTGGTCGTAGTGGTGCAAAGGGAATAGAAATTCGTATAAAATACGGATAAAGCGTAGTGGTTGGCATCTCTGCATACTGCATCTTACACTAATGCACAGTGCAGTGTTGGAAATAGCAGACCAACCCCTAATACGAGATTGCTAACTTTTGAGCAAAACTGGCTACTTTTTTTTTACTTTTTACTTGTTAACGTTTTTTTACTATGTTATATAGTAGAAATAAAAATGCCCGAAATCAGGATCGGGACCCATTTTTAAGTGTGGCTAGTACACTATTTAGCCTGCATGTAGTGACGTGCACACAGTAGAGTATGCTATGTACAGCACATACTGTTGAATAAAATGCACTTTAACACATAATGTACTACATACTGTGAGTCTGTAATAAGTACTTTTGTATATACTGAAACACATATTGTAGCACATACCATACTGTACACTGTAGTTAGCATGTTGCATAACCTTAGCACATAAATGATACTGAACATAATGCATACTTTAGTGTACAGTGTAGAACACTCAAATTTTTGCCTTAATTTTCTCAGAAAAGTTAATGACCATTCATGATGCAGATGGATGGCTAACTTGGGGTATACCACAAAATAGCTTGTGAAAATCTTCAAGTATCTCGAATACCTACGTACACACATGGTTCATTTCATGTTGAAACGTGGCACCACTTACTTGTTAATAAAAACCTCGAGACCCTTCTTTCGTTCCTCGATGAACTCATCCTCAAAAATTCCCTCATCATGTCGAAATGGAAGCTGCCTTTTCCATGCTTTGCCAGGCAATGGTGGAACTACAATCTATACGATACCATGCAAATGGAACATAGCATAAATCATAATTTCTCCTTCAACTCATCATTGCAACAGATGCCTAATGTTAATAACAATAAAAAGTCAAGTGAGAATATAGAGCTATATTGTAGTTTAATTTCTGGGCTGTAAACAATCTCCAAATTTACTGGATTGAGTATTTTTGTCTTAAACGGTTAGACAATGACAATTACGGTAATAAAAACACGGCTGGTTAAATTACGAGGATTTTTTTTGAATGTGCATGATAATTTTAAAATTATTACAATTTCTTTTCATTCTTGGCATTTCTTACCTTGCTATCTCGTTCTAGTTCATTTCTGAGCCATTCAAAGTCACTGTATCGTCGTCTTATACAAGATTCCTTTAGTTTGAACACAGGCAGATTTGTCTGAAATCATATAAGTGTTCAGCCTACACTGTTACTGTAACTAGAGCTGCAGAGCGTCTGGGCTCATCTGAGGTCTGTTGCTACGGTTATAAACGTAATATTTAAGTTGTGCGTAGTGACAACTTTGTTAGGCGCAGATATGCAGATACGCAGTTGCGTACACATCATTTCAGCAACCTTCTGCATTCTGCATACCTCCCAAATCCCATTGGTTGATACAAATTGCGTGCCTGAAATTCCTGTTTTATGGTGCATTGTGACCCTAACCCTAACCCTATTATAAAAATAATAATTTAATTGTTGTAAAAATTATTTGTTGTTATGAAATTGTTGTAAATAAATCATGTAAATATTTACCTTAATTGGAAAGAAATAGTTAAATGAATAAAAATAGAAAAATATAGAAAACAGGTAAATAATAAAAAATCTGATGGGATTCGATCCAAGGACCTTTGACCCGTAATCCTGTGCTGTAGACGTTGCGCTATCGAGGCATATTGGCTTTCCAGATTATGGATGTTCCATGAATATGAGAACACTGTGACATCATTGAGGCAGTTTAGGAATACATGTTTAACCCTCCTGTTGAGGGCCAAAAGGTTATCAGACACTTATTCTTCGCACGTGAGTGGAAAGTACATTTCATGGTCCTTTCAATAAAGTTAAAAAAATGGTAAGTCAGTGCTGAAACAAAAAAGTTTTCCACTCTGTCCATTAGGCCACGTCCTCAGAAACTGTCTAAAATCTGCCCTGTGCCCCATTGACCTTTGACCTTCAATTTCGGCACAGTGATGGCATGGCGCCATTTCTAAGGCGACGAGTGCGCGTTTCCAGGTGGTGGAGGCGATTTTCGGTACAGCACAAAACACGAGTTTGTGTCTGGGAGCACAGATCATGCTGCGCCAATGGTTAGACTTTACCGATTGTGCTACTGCAGTAAGCTCTGGCTTTTCACACTGATGACTGATCCATGCCAACCTGTCCTTATAAGTGTCCAGGCGAGGCACTGCCGCAGGTGGGGATGACATCACATGAATGTCACCAACATAAGTGTCCAGGCGAGGCACTGCCGCAGGTGGGGATGACATCACATGAATGTCACCAACAGGTGACAGTTCAATCAAACCTATACGCAAAGGAAGACGATACGACATTTCACATTCTTCATGGGAATCACGGGACTTAGTATCAGATCTGTCAAACGCTGTGACCTTCATTAAATGTTTCAGTAGACGTTAGAACCTATACTGAATACTATGTGAACGTACATCGACGTGTTAAACATAAATCGCTTCGCAGTCTCAATTTGTCACTAATATGCCCGCTATCTAGTGTAATTATTACCTCATGTTCTCCACATAGAGACGCACGCACGCACGCATGCATGCACGCGCGCGCGCACGCACACACGCACGCATGCACGCAGGCCCGCTCACGTTTATACATACAGAACTCATACGCACACACACATCCACCCACCCACCCACACACACACGCGCGCGCACGCACGCACGCACACACGCACGCACGCACGCACGCACGCACACACACACACACACACACACATCGTGATATCATATCTCATTAATAAACGCAAACCCTACGGACTACTACAATGAGATCTCTCCGGCTTTCTTGTGAAGGCACCGTGTGTCTGTATATAGCTAGCATGCGTTGATCCTTACCCCTGCCGCCGGTCAGCAACACGCACCTGTACGAAGTTAGACATCGCTATACGTACCGTTTAGATAGAGTAGAAACGCGAGCATGGGGACACTTGCCAAAGCTACCGATACGCAGCGCATTGTTCCGCCCATAGCAGCAGCTGTTCAGAGGACAATGTTGATATGACTGCTCACATAGCAGCATCTCACAGCTATTTACACCACTTATACTGACCAACCCACCTGCCAGAGCTCCTACTGATGCAGCACAACACGCATGCGCTCATGCGTGTATTATCTATAATGTATAATGCTCGCACCCGTTTTCAGCGCTTACAACAACTTTCTACGGTTCTTGTTTCGCGGCGATGCCCCAAGGTAAAATTGACATTCATTCATCATTCAGAAACGCACAACAACAAAAATGCAAGAAGCATGACACAGAATGACAAGAGGACACAGGATATCGGTAGGGTTCCCCTATTCACGTTCAAAACCGGTACAAAAGCGAGCCGTGCTATTTTGTCCGGGATCGTTTTTGTACCCACTACAGAGTGGGTACAAAAACGAACCAGAACGAAATTGACCCGAGCGCTGGTTCATTTTTGACGTGTGAACGTGCACCGACACACGACACGGGATAAACTTAGTACGGTGGTAGATGTCGTCAGTGTCGACTTCCGCTTTACTTCCGCATTTCTCAGTTTCTACACGCGCGTTTTTCAGTATTTTCATTGAGTTAAAATATCCGTCAAAATGCCCCCAAACAGAAGGGGTGGATCTACTGTGGTCTCACGAGGACAACGTCGCTCTTCTCGAGATTTGGAAATCGAATTTTATGCAGGCGCAGTTAACAGGAACCTCAAGGAATCGTATATATAGCCTATCAAAAAATTGTTGAAAAACTGGCTGAGCGGACACCACAGAGTCACCGCAGTAGACGTTAGATGAGCGCTGTCGCTATGCGGCACTTGTTGGGTTAACCCGGGTTAATTATCATGCCAGTGATATAATAAAATAATAGCAATTGCATTCTTATTATTAATGAAATCTAAGAATGAGCGGCTCAAGGATAGAGAGCATGTCCAGTAATAAACATCATCCTATCCACTCACCGCCCTTGAGCAAACATACACAGTCATTCACACTGCTACATTCATGCAGCACTGATCCGGATACTGTGGGATACTTCCCCAAGCCCTCCCCCCCCCCCCCCAAGTGAGCACCTCGGCGAGCCGCTCACTTCGTTCTCACCCGGGCTCACCCGGGTAACGAAAAAATACCACGTGACTGCCAAATCGAACGTATTTGGGGCTGGCCCGAGTAGACCCAGGTTAACTTGGGGAAGCAAATCGAACGTATTTGGGGCTGGCCCGAGTAGACCCAGGTTAACTTGGGGAAGCAAATCGAACGCACTATATGTGTTCACCCAGGTGGTTCCGCTCTATCACGTGGGTCACGGGTGACTCACTGTCACTGTCAGTGTCACTGTGACAGTGGCCAGAAATATAGATTATAATAATTATTATTGTCTAGGCACAGATACACAAGAATCCTATTCCATTATTTTATATAATATCTATGGCAGGGTTAGAAATGAAGATTTTTGTCAGCAAATCCGCCCAGCCAGAAAACGATACTTCATTAGCCAGAAAACAAAAAAAATCAAAGAAGTTACACTACCTCCCACAGTCCAGGAACCTGGTCCGGGGGGGGGGGCACTCCATATATATATTGCATGGTAGGTATGTGCCGCGGGAGAGACCCCCCTTTTTCACCCTAAACTTTCGTTCCAGTGCATCGCATTTTTAAGAATATCTCGTTCCAGAGCATCACAAGTTGAGTTACCATGCAGATCTTGCCTTTTCCCCGTTCCGGAGACCCTAGTTTTTAGCTCACCTTGGCATCGTCAAGCTGAGCTATTGCCATGGGTCGTCGTCCGTCGTACGTCCGTCCGTCTGTCAACATTTCGATACGGTCGACGATAACTCAGGAACCGTTTGGCCCCATGTTTGAAATTGGGTATAGTTGTGACTGCTATGCTCCCATATTAAACGTCCTATTTTGAAGCACGCCAGTCGACGTACTTTCGAGAGAATCATGGAAATCATGGTTTTATAATGATTTTGCGGTATTTTACATTAATTCATAATTCATGTGTTTAAGGTGTTAGTGTTCACCTCTACCTATATTATATTCAAAATGTTGCAATATTATTAACTTGTTTTGCTGTTGCTGTATATAAAATATTATTGCAAGCATATGGCCATTTCCAAGTAACATAATAATTTGTTCAATCTATTTGTTGTTTCCATGCATCTTCACATTGCACCATCGGTGTTACATATAACAGCATAGTTATTGCATGGTCGCTCCGACAGCAGAGCGTTCTGTTGATCTCGACAATCAATGTTACCCTCGATCTTCAGACTCGGGCAACATTGATTACCTCGGTCCACAAAACTTAATGTGTCCCTCGCTAACACGCAATAATTTTATAACAGTACTTATGAACATGGAAAATACGATATACAAATCACGTCTTGCATATGTTTATGCGTGCTATGAAATGCAGCACTAGGCGAACAATTCGTCGGGAAACGTGTAATTGAAAAGTAGAAAATCCACTTCATATTTAGCGTGCAGTTGTCGAGCGAGGTCTAGCGGCACTTGCTTGTAGTAAGTCCTCATGAGCGAGACGTCATCACTGCTTGTCGCTCTCTTATATGTCGCGTTCCTCTCGGGAAAGTCGATGGATTCCGCCAGTTCCATCCGCCGCAGCAGTTCGGCGCTGTCGTCGCGCATGCTCTCGTATTTGCCGACAAAGTCGTAGTTGATGACGCACGGGTCGCACACGTCAACCATGCGTGCCCAGTGGTTGTTCAATTGTTCTGTAGGTGTTCCGAGAACATGGGTGAGGAACTGTACGAAGCTCACCGAGGCACTATTCTTCCCGTCAGCGTGCTGCCTGCGCTTAAAGTGTTTCCGGATCAACTGCTTCCGGTAATAGTGGTCGTCAGCGTCGTCGGCAATCTTATCACGATATGCCGACAGGAGGCGAGTGAACGGATGTCTCACGAACATGAACTTGGTGTCGGCGTTGCTAAGGATGGCTGCCTTCTGACGCGAGTCCTTGATGGTGCTTAGGCGCTGAACGTACTTCCCGACACCAACTCGTTTTCAAAGTACCCCCCCACGTCCCGACTTTCGAATCCGTACGTCGACCCGTTTAGATTTGTGCCGAACTGTTGACGGAAGGACGCACGCACTGACGCACGGACGCACGAACAATCATGCGATTCTACAAGCTGCATCCGACTACGTCGGATGAGCTAATAACAACACATACCAAAGGTCCAACTGAACATGCACTTGTTCATTAGAAAACATGTTCAGTCATTTCAGATTCATAATTCTGTATGGCTAACGATATTATTAATACATAACGAAGTCTAAACCAGTACGGTAGAAAAAATAGTTTCATGTCACTCGGTTGTCTCTGACCATTATTTATTATTTTGGTCATGCCAAAATAAAGCCATCAATATTGTACTCAAACCCTCATTAGATATGTATGAGTGTTCCTGTACACTCACCAAAGGTTCATATAAAATGTTTCTCCATAGCGTCTTCATATTGACAAGTTGCAACAACCTATTGTTTTTAACCTACGGCTCAGAGGAGCTTAGGCCATGAGAATGAAAGTTTTAGATTTGCGTCCGGACATTTTTCAAATGGCATGAGGCTTTTTTCATTATTCATTATTATGGTGGCAGATGTCATTGTCGTGCCTACCCATTGTGTCACTGTTAAGTGGCGCATTGGTATGTTCAGTCGTCAGTGAGGGGGTTCAGTGGAGCCAGACGTAGTCTCAGCGTAGCCAACACCCAAACGTCGACTGAATTTTTGGGTCTAAGTGGATACATGCACTGGAGGTATCGCTGTGTGAAGATCGAAGCTTGTTGGCGGTAACTGCATGCGCGTACTAGTATGTATTATGCGTAATTATTGCCTTTTACAGCGGTTTGATGATTTGGAACTTGAATTTGTGTGATGGATAGCCTTTTTTTATGTAATTTGTAAATAATGAAATTTTTTAAAATAATAATTTTTTTCGGCGGGAGGTTTTGGAGCATGCGGGCGGTGATGCAAATCGAAAACTTTCATTCTTATGGCCTTAGATCAAGGACAAAATTTTATAAAGGGTCGATTGAGCAAACGTCAGAATGAGACCAGACTGCACACACACACAATGACACACAGTGTAATATACGTAGCGGGCTCTAACTGTACGACGGCCAATGACGAATGGGTTTTATGTGGGTAAGTAAATATTCAGGCTGAGCGTAGGTAGGTAGCGCCGCTTATTTAACTGGTTTATCTTACTGAAGGAAAACGGAGTTCTGTCCAAAATGATACTACTACTAGGATTATTATAATAATTTATAGGACTATTAAAGTATTATATATTATTAGTACTAGTACTAGTAGGCCTACTAGTAGAAAACTGGTCTAAGATAGAGGTCCGGACTCTAGAACATGTGAATTCTTCCTTATTCGTTACCTTCATGCGCACTTCGTAGTCTGAATATCTCGTCCTACCGATACCATGCGTTTGTGGGTTGCAAATGTCTATTTCTAAAAAATTCGCCGGTGCCGCATACGCATCGTCTAAGGTTTGTTTCTTAGATGATAGACGTTTTGTAGCTTCGGCGTCCGCCATGATTATTGCGCTAGAACTGGTTAAGGCCCGGATTTTGCGTTACGTAATAATAGGGGGGAAAAGTTCAACGATTAATTTAGAATGCCGTTTCGGGGCATCAAATTCCGCAAGGAGACGCCTCTGTATGGTAAACATGTCAGCCCCCTCATAACTCAATCATAAAATTTCAGTGCTTAGTTGCACGTACGGTTTCACACCTAATTTCTTTACATAGGAATTATAATATGGCAAGATTCATATTTTTCCCGTAGCAGAGATGGAAGATAAACCCGTAGTAACTCGTAAGTGCGACGTTTTGATAACCACTGTTTGATAGCTAGCGAGTCATTTCCTGGGTGTTTCTGTTTCTGTTTCTGTTGAGTGTTGTAGTTGTAGTACTGGTACTGGTAGTAGTAGTAGTATAGATACAATAATGTAACCCAAACCCAAGAGGATAGGGTTACAAAGTCTCCCTATCCTTTTCTGCGGAGGAATGCCCGAGTGAATCACTCGGGCCGGTTTGCTGGTGCGTTTTCAGATACTAGAACTTCCAAACTGGGTTTATTCTCAACACGAACCTTTCTCCGCTATTCGGGAACTTACTATGTATTGCAATACTCTGTATTAAACTAATATAACCTGTTACAAAAATTCGAAGTGACGAGCGGCGAATATACTGAGCGCCATTTCTGTTGACCTGTGACGTACTTCGGTTATTCCTTTTTGCAGCCATAATTCTCAATTTGCATACACAGAAGTGAACTGAAAAACTCACATCTACAAACTGGCAGATCTATGCTATTTATTTACACTATTATAACAAGCTACTGTTTAACAAATATGGATCCACACCTCTGAGGGGAGGTGAGAGTGCGAGTGGTGACTACTGACCGTCTTATACCTGTGTTAATTGTAATATCAACACAGAGGGAAGGACGTCACTACTGTGTGAACCACTGATTGCATGGTGAGGGGGTTGTGGGTGGATTATTAGTGTTCACTCCTTTGGGGTGATTTTGCTATACAAAATAAGGCATGGGACCGAGAAAAAGTGTTCACTGTTCAGAAAGGCAGGGTGTTCACTGATGCCAAATGGATCTATTTACTATATACATAACAGACAGGAGATAATTACATAATATATAACGTTATATATATAGATCAGTGAACTGGCTACTTACGCCCAAATAATGTAACAGTGTATGTGTGTGTGTGCGTGTGCGTGCGCGTGCGCGTCCGCGTGTGCGTGTGCGTGTGCGTGTGCACACCCAATCCTGCACTCGCCCCCCGTACATATCAATCAATATGCCGCCCCAGGCACGTATACAGCGCATAGCAGCGCGGCGCAGATCAACTGAACAGATTATATACAGCGTCAGCGAGCGTGTACACCGCGTGTAGCGCGTGCCATGCTGCGGCGGCATTTCATTGATGTACAAGGGGTGGGCTGGGTTGGCGCCTGACGTTAATTTACTGGCCTGATGTTGACCGTGACAGTGTTCTATTGTCTCTGGTGTATGCGCAGAAGAAACTCGGAAACTCAGAAACTCAAAAACTCGGAAACTCAGAAACTCGAAAACTCGGAAACTCAAAAAGTCGGATGTCGCTTCAGGGCTTCCATAGTACACTTACAGTTCAAGCTTCCCACTGTTCACAGTTTAGGCACTTCTGCCACCATGTTGAAATCTTTAGTTTGATGAGGAGTGTAACTATGCAGAAAATATTTTCGAAAATCTTTCAGATTCTGACTTTCAGTACTCTGACTTTAGTTCACTATATAGTTTTACCTGCATACGGTAACACATAATTCAAGTCACTACAATATAACACACATTTAGTGAGCGCGCGCGATAATAATTAACACAACAGATCAACTACAGAATTACCAGTAAAAGATAAGCTTTTCTAAAAAAAATTCACAAAAAAATATTAAGAAAGAGACTTAGCAAGTCCAATGTGACAGATGCTACCAATAAAAATGCGTAATTTTGAAATATTCATAGAGATACATTTGGTAGTTAAAAGGCGAGAGAACGCATCTCCTGCCTTCTAGAATTCAAAATTTTTCCGGGGGGATGCCCCCCGGACCCCCCTACTCAACGTCGTGTTACACACGTCGGCCCCCTATCACAAAATCCTGGATCCGCCCCTGCAAACGGTTAAGAAATACTTATAAGAAGGTGGTCGACAACAACAGATCAGGACTGGCACGACCAACGTGCAGTTATTTCAAGGAATTGTACGAAGTGTTGGGAAAGTGTCCTTCCATCAATCCACCAGCGTTGCTGGAATCATCGCACACCGGCAAACGATCGATCAAACGTCGCGCATGTGAACGCTCTCTTCAAAATCGACCGGTGTCGTTTTTGATCCGGGTCAGTCTCGGATCGTTTTCGACCCGGGACAAATTGCTCCGTGTGAACGCGGCTATTGATATTGTTTATATTAAATTGTATGCCTAATAATGTACAATTTTTATAAATTGTTTTTATTAACAATATTGCGCATGATAAATCTAATAAATAATAGAACAAAAACACTCAACAAAAATAGAATAAAGACAAATTTTATTCTGCATGTGAAAAGTTTCTCTAGTGCGTAAAAAAGTAGGTATATAGCCTATTTACGCACCCTAGTCGCGACATTTTGCCCTCCCTAAAGGCCGCCGCACACCTACATTGCTTCATCGCTTCATCGCTTCATCGCTTCATCGCTTCATCGTTTGTAAAATCGGCTCATCGGCTCATCGGCTCATCGGTTCAAAATCAAACATGTTTGATTTGGAACGATCACCCGATAAAAATAAAATCGTCTACAAATGAACGCGCACACCTACATCGCTTCATCGTTTGTAAAAATCGGCTGGTGTGCGGCGGCCTTAAGGCTTAAGGAATTTACTCTGGCTATGGCTCTGTCATAATACCGCGTGAGCTTCGTCATGACAACGAGAGACGTGGTGATTGTTTTGTTCTGAAAACAATAGAAACTAGTAATAATTTGCCAGCTGCTGCGGTTGGAATTCTATTACTTTGATTGTGTCATCATCATTATGATGACCTCATAAGTAATAGCCTTCAAAGTCTAAGAGACTATATCGAAGACGGAGAGAGACAAAGTTGATCAAATAGACAGATCAACACTCCGAATTGCACTAGTAAAGGTTTCAATATCTGGCCGTTTCAAACAGGAGAACGATACGATATGCACTGCTGAATTCGAACAAAGCAGTACCCGTTGACCCATTTCATGTCACCACGGTAGAAATTCCAGTAATAACTTCAATAACTGACTAAACCCACCCATCAATCATCGGAATGGTTCTCGTTGGAGATTCGACGCCACTGCAGAAAGAACCGCCATTTTGTAACATGGTCCAAGCATCACCTAACGGTAACTATACAGATATTTTAAAAACATGGATATGTACACGGATGTGTATGTTCAATAGACATCTATATGTTTGTTCAATAAACATTGGTTCCGTTGTATTACTATATATATTTTTCGTTGAAATATATTTAGAGGCACGCCCGACAACTCAGTCTCCCAAGTTATCATTTTACGGATTTACAAAAGCAGAGATGTAGTCTGTAAGAGATCATAAGAAGGGAAACAGGGGGAGCGAGAGGTGGAGAGGGAGAGAGGGGGAAAGGTAGAGGGGGAGAAAAGAGAGAAAAGAGAGAGGGAGAAGAGAAAGAGATAGAGAGAGCGATCGAGCAAGAGAGGGAGAAGGAGAGAAGAGAAGCTGGTGGAGAAGGAGGAGAAGGAGAAAGGAGAAGGTGGTGGAGGAGGGGGAGAAGCTGGTAGAGAAGGAGGGGGGAAAGGCTGGTGGAGAAAGAGGAAGGGGAGAAGGGAGAAGCTGGTGGAGAAGGAGGAGGGGGAGAAGCTGGTGGAGAAAGAGGAAGGGGAGAAGGGGGAGAAGGGAGCTGGTGGAGGAGGAGGGGGAGAAGGGAGAAGGTGGTGGAGAAAGGGGAGGGGAGAAGCTGGTGGAGGAGGAGGGGGAGAATGAGGAAGGGGAGAAGGGAGAAGCTGGTGGAGGAGGAAGGGGAGAAGGGAAAAGGTGGTGGAGGAGGGGAGAAGCTGGTGGAGAAGGAGGAGGGGTGAAGCTGGTGGAGGAGGAGGAAAGCGAGGTGGAGAAGCTGGTGGAGAAGGAGGAGGGGGAAAGGGGAGCTGGTGGAGGAGGAGGGGGAGAAGGGAGAAGCTGGTGGAGAAGGAGGAGGGGGAGAAGCTGGTGGAGAAGGAGGAAGGGGAGAAGGGAGAAGCTGGTGGAGAAGGAGTAAGAGGAGAAGGGAGAATCTGCCAACCCAGCCCCCCCTGTACATCAATGAAATGCCGCCGAAGCATGGCACGCGCTACACGCGGTGTACGCGCTCACTGACGCTGTATATAATCTGTTCAGTTGATCTGCGCCGCGCTGCGCTGTATACGTGCCTGGGGCGGCATATTGATTGATGTACGGGGGGCGAGTGCAGGATTGGGTGTGCACACGCACACGCACACGCATACCCACACTGTTACATTATTTGGGCGTAAGTAGCCAGTTGACTGATCTATATATATAACGTTATATATATGTAATTATCTCCTATATGTTATGTGTAAAGTAAATAGATCCATTTGGCATCAGTGAACACCCTGCTTTTCTGAACAGTGAACACTTTTTCTCGGTCCCATGCCCTATTTTATATAGCAAAATCACCCCAAAGGAGTGAACACTCATAATCCACCCACAACCCCCTCACCAATGCATCAGTGGTTCACACAGTAGTGACGTCCTTCCCTCTGTGTTGATATTACAATTAACACAGGTATAAGACGCGGTCAGTGGTCACCACTCACACTCTCACCTCCCCTCAGAGGTGTAGATCCATATTTGTTAAACAGTAGCTTGTTATAATAGTGTAAATAAATAGAACTAGCTATTACCCGTCCTCCAGACGGGTTTGAGTTGGGTATGATTTGAGGAAGGCGGTTTAACCATTTATCTCTCATTACAATGTGAACAAAAAACTCCGTTATTACAGCAAAGAAAGGGCGCCTAGTAGCGAACAACAAATTGGGAGCTTTTCTAGCCCGTCTCTACCTAACTGGGTAGTGCGATCCCTCGTGCAATGGGCAGAACTGCAGATTAGAGCGAAAAGCCGCTTTAACCTAACCCTAGGAAAGGACCGGAGTATACTGGCGTTGAGAAGAGGCAGCGAAATTGCAAAAGTGGCCGCTACGCGGCGTTTGAGCGCTTCGCGCGGATATCCGGCTGCAGATCGTCTAGTCTCGATGAGCTGGTGCCGATGCTAGAATGGCCATTTGCGAAAAGCGATTTGAAAGGTGATATGGAAGTTGAAGCTCGTGACTGGAACAAGATGGCGTCTCCTCGACTAATGAAGACTCACATACCTTTTCATCTGCTGCCTCCTGACATCACCGAACGAAGGAAAACACCCAAGGTGCGCCGATTACACAGCTTATCTTTTCGATGTTAATGTCATTTCGACTGAACACATAAGCACGCACATCGGATTATAGGTGATAACCATTGTAGAAAGACTAATATTCCTTGTTTCGACAGTAGATATTACCTCTAACTGAAGAAAACACGCGTGGCCTTAACACACCGGCGTAGCGCAGTAAAGAAACAGAATACAATACAATCCAATCCAATGCAATGCAATACAATACAGTACAGTACAATACAATGCAATACAATACAATACGATATAGTAGTACAAATATAATACAAACTTAAATTCCTCGTCGCTAGTTACATGTTCTATATATAATCGCTGCCACGTCTTTGTATCAACGTCTTACCTGTCTTCAATGATATGCTTAAAGGGATAGTAGACTCTAGGATTTTACTGCATACAACTGTACTTACTGTATAACAAATCGTCTATACCCACATCTATTTGTCACCAGATACATAATTTAATTGTTATAAAAAATTACACATCAACGCTACGAAATTTGAACGGCGCCATGACACCCGCGAACGTGCTGCAACCCCGAAGTTGGGTATTTGCCAATTTATTTTGCACGTTACAGACCGAGGGCTAATCACAAAGGTGCAATTATATTCATACCTAAATGCTATTTAACCGAAAGATGTTCATTTTAGGACAAATTTATCCATAATATAACTGAAACTATATGTCGTTTATAAGATATTACAATCCTTTTTCTTTTAAATTCATAAATAAGAAACACCCTCGGTCTGTAGCCCTTGGCTGAAAAGTGGTTTTGCGCAACTTATCAGATCGTGCGCTTTGAGTGGCGCCACCGTCGTTGTAATTAAACTGTAGTCGTTAGTTTCAAAACATTTTTTAATAATATTTTTAATGGTGATTGAACCATGAAACTTTTTATGTAGCATAATTTTAACCTAAATTAACTGAAAATAACCCTAGAACCTAGAGTAAACTCTCCCTTTAATGAATGTGTTTATCTTGACATTATCATAGATTGTTTACGTCACGAGAAATCCGAAGGATATGATCGTGTCTGATTATATGTTCACCGTCAACTTCCTGTCATTTGCATCTTACGAAAACATCTATGCCAACATGTCATTCGAAAAGTATTTGGAACAAGGCTTCTTCGATGAAAACGGCAAGTAATGACAATTATTCTATAAAATTTAATGAATTTGTGATTATGAATTGGTAATGTCACGGATTTATAAAACAGTAGTATAGGATATCAAACGTTGGCGTTTCGAAATTAAATGAATATACGTTGGTTCTATATTTACAGTCGCATATGGCGATTACTTTAATCACAACCTGGAGTTTTGGGAGAGACAAGACTGGGACAATATACTCATTGTAAAGTACGAAGATTTGCTACAGGTAAATTAATTTGTTGTCTATCTATTTAATAATCAATCAATTGATCGATTGATTCATCCATCCATCCATCTATTACAAACTCTACCATGTATATACATATATATAAATAGATTTCGTACGCATGTACATACACAACTATGTTTCTCAATTCAACAAAAAGCGGTTTTTCGTATATTTCTGTAATATCGCGATGTACAGTAGCAAGTGGGTTACTGCAGACTCATATGCCACGACCGTACTGCTCTTTAAACAGGACCCACACAGAGAAGTCACGCGCGTGGCCAGGTTTCTGGGGAAGGACCTTAGCTCTGAGCGGATCCACCAGATTACACAAGAAATATTTAAAAAATCAAAGTGGTTATACATCATATAATTACACTATCTATCATTGATTGACATTGGTCTCAGCTAAATGCATAACTTTTTTCGCCATCTGTTCACTAATCATCATACTTATCCACCTAATAGAAAAAATCACATCCAATTATCATAAAATATTTAATTACTATTCATAAAAATTTATAAATTTTTATACATAACGTGTGCATTATGGTAGAAAAAAAAAAATTATGCAAATTAGGTAGGGTTTGGCAATTATATAGCATATTATATAGACACAAACAGTCTGTGGTGTCACACTCGTCTGGTTCGTTTTACAAGATTTCATTGACAATATCTTTAATGCAAAATTGGTATTTCCTCTCCACCCTGTCGATAAAATGTCTATATTAAAGTAAAGATTTATAAAACATGTCGGAACGCAGCATAACCTATTTATTTCAAACGCCATCGCTACAAAGCGGGCATAGCGCCATCTACGGTCACAAATTGTGATTCATTTTGGTTTATAAATTATTATTGCGATATACAGATGGCAATCGTTTCTACTATAATGTACGTCGATGGTTGCTCAATTAAAACTGACCTCTTCTTACTCACTCATTTGTGTCCTTTTTTTGTGGTGAGCTACAGTGTCATTGACACTTTCATTGACTTCGCAGTGGCACATACCTACCATAATGTAGGGTGAGTGCCCCCCCCCCCTTCGGGAAACCTGGGTTGACCTCATACCTAGCCATTTCCCCTAATTCGCTTATTGTAAATATAGTCACCCAAGTTGCACGTTAAATTAAATACGGGTGGTAACGTAGGATCAACATAGTATGAAAAATACAACCTTGAACAACTTGCCATTGTGTTTGTTGACATTGTGTTTGGAATACACTGACATGCATACACAGCTGAACAAAGATTAATAACAAAACTTTTATTACCAGAACAACAGAGCTATTAGGGGCAGATCTACGATATTTGAAAGGGGGGTGTCCAGGAAGAATAAAGGGCACTTTTTCCTGCTTGATTTTTCTGGTGTTTTAAACTTACTATTGCGAGATTTTTGCTCAGAAAAACTAAATATAGCTGAATATAGTCTCACCTGACAGCGGAAATATCACTGATTACACCAACATTAAAAACACTAAGATTTTATGCAGTTATAGCATAGAAAAATGGATTTGACCACATCATACCAGCAATAAATTTTATCGTATGCCGACTCTCAAAATCACAAATGACGCCTTCAAACCAAGTGCATAATTAAAACAAAAGGGCGTGCAATTCTGTGTGGTAAATATTATTGAGTTTTTATGTCAATAATTCAAAGCACTTTCTGTCATTGTCATTCCCGTGTTACTATCTGACTGGTAATCGACAAGCTTCTCTAATAACAGACTTTACGCAGCATTAGTACTAATGCACTCCTGTTACGCTAGTATGAATGTCTGTGTTTACACTCTGACATGATTTCTGCGGTGCGACTATATATGCATTATTGCACCGTGATAGATGTCTCACGCTACCGCGAGAAAGTCCGAGAGATGGCAACGGTAAACATAACTTTGGCGTTTTTAGTTTGGTTTATTAGGAATTTTTGGCAGCAAGCATATGCTGCCAAAATTGAAAGCAGGCAGCAAACTGACCATTGTAGGCAGCAAAACTTCTGCTTGCCTCCCTTATTTTCTAACCCTGCTATGGTGTGACGATGAAACTGATTCGAGAGAAAGTAGTGCATAGTTAATCCCACAGTAGCACGAACATTTAATATTGCTGCTTTTAGTTGTCTATCTAGATTCTACTAGACAGTGTGAAGGAGCAGTCAGGATATGCAGTTGAGACTTTGTTTGGAGTGCTTTGCATTCAGAATTGAATCATCCCAAGTCCACATCCACTCATGTGCTTGACAGTTTGGAATGATGTTTAACAGTATCCATTTAATACTATATATCCAGTGTTTGAAATAAGGGAAAAATTTTGCTTGTCCGACGGACAAGCTACAATATAATTTTGCTTGTCCTGCAAAATGTTAGCTTGTCCTGATTAATAACATAGAAATATAGTAAATGTGTAATACATTTAATCAAATTAAATTTTATACCTGTTATCTTACTTTGTAATTTTAATACAGTTCTCTAACAGTTCAAATTAGGCACCAAACTTGAAAGAACATAAAGAAGCACAATTATTTATTTTAAGTTATTAATTGTCTTAACAAAGTTGAAGCGATGGTAAAAATTGCTCTAAAAAGCTGCTTGTCGAGCGGACAAGCTACTGGACAGGTCTACTTGTACTCCGTGGAAATGGACAAGTGAGGACAAACGGATAACCCTTATTTCGAACACTGTATATTGTATATTGAGTATATATACTCAGATGGATCACAATGGCAAGAGTGTGTTACGAGTTATTTGTGCACGTTTCAGATGCGGGAGATGCAGCTTTGTTCTTAGCTCTTCATGCCGGTCTCGCCGGGGCACTACCCAGAGAACAAGTGGAATGGCGGCGGTGAGTGAACACTACTATCCAATCCCCCTTACATGCAGCAGTGCTGCCGCACTTGTGGTTGACATGACTAATGTGATTGTATAATTACATAGCTTGATCAATGTCTGTGGCTCGTACTATATAACAGGGTACATGGAATACCATAAAGTCTGATCTTGGATATCCCTATGCCATTTAACAGTAACATTTAGCAAATCAACTAAGTACTACATTCCATATAAATTTATGCTTTTGAAATCTGTACCTGGCTATTCGGTGGGTATTTAAAACCACTGCCACATCAGACAGGTTCATGTCTATATTTGGTATCAGCATCATTATCTAAATTGAGATGCATGGGTGCATATAAAAATATTTTAGTGCTATCCGTTGGTTTGTATCAACAAGGAATAGACAGGGTCGTACTGAATTTGTTGGCTTTGCTGTTGCTACTACTTCTTTTAGGTTGGTGACTGTTCAGTTTCAAACCATCATGCAAAATATAAATCACAGAAGTCTAACAAAATCTAGAGTCACAGAATCATGGAATTAAACCAGCCATCATTTACAGATCGTATGGACGTGCTCCAAAGACAGTCCTGCTGGATGCAAATTTTGTGCAATTCTCCGAAGATATCTTACCTAAGCATCCAGAGGTGGCGCTGCTCGGTCAACCTGTCTTTCACACGTACTGGACAGAATGCAATGTAAGCTTTTCCATTTGCCATTAAATCATCTTATTATTTACTAGCGGGATACCCGGCTAGTGGATACCCGTGAAGTGTTCCCGTCAGTTTGCGCTGTTATTATCATCTACCATAGTTTATTCTGGATTTGTACTAAACGTTTAAATGTAGTAAAAAAATTTAAAATTTGAAATTAACAGAGAAGTAAAGTGAAATTAAGTGGCAGAAGTACATACTAAACAGTCGAAAAGTAAAGAAACAGAATTTCCCGAGGTGGGATTTGAAACCAGAATCAATGGTTTTGGAGTCCGATGCTTTATCCACTTGGCCATCTATTGACGAATAGAATTTTTTTTAATTTTTAACTTTTTAACTTTTTTAAATTTTGGTTGCAGCCAGAACCATCTCCCAGACGTGCTGATTCTGAAAATATCTTTAGTTTTCCTCCAAGGCTGCGGAGTTCTCTAGTTATGCGCGAACACACTAATTCGGCTGAACAACTTTATATATATATAGATATTATATCATCTGTTGCACTCACAATTGAGGATTTGTTTTTTTCAGTGTCGCCATGCTCTTGAGACAACAAAGACTTGTATTTCATAAAAAAGTTCTATATAATTTAGCCTCAATGTAATTGTTATTATAATCTATAGTAATTACTTTTAATGTGAATATTACATATAATTTGTGTGCAAGTGCAAATATTATAGTAAAGCAAACCTATTGATCCTACTTGTAACTAATTAAACATGCAGATACATACATACGCACACATGCACACAATTTTTATATATTTATTTATTTGTAGGATGTGGATGCGTACAAGGCAGCAGTCAAAGAAGAGATTACCACCTGGCAGGCATCACTGAAGAACTATGGCATCACTGATTGGTTGATTGTTGCCGTGGTGAACACTGAAAGTAAAAAGGGGAAAAAGCCAAACATCTTACCACGCACAAGCGTGGTGGACAAGATCAAAAGTGATTTCTGCAGCAAACAGAATGACAGGTAACCACCAAACAGAACAACATTATCGAAGTAATTAATGTGCTAGACCTTGTGTCTTAATTTAGGTGCATAAGATATCTGGCCTCTTTATATTCATCCATGGGTAGCTGATGGTGAAGTCACTGGTATTCCAGCCAGACATTTGGTTAAGACATGTATATGACTAGGCTGTTGCTTGCTGCTGCTAAACTTTGTGAGCTAGATTAAACAATCTTGCGTGTAGATATTCTCATACATGAGGAAGAAAGCAAACAATTGTTGCAAGAAAGCCAGTATTACAAAAAAACTATGGATGTCTTTATCATTCTCTACTTTTGATTTGGAACAATAGAAATTAATCCTTTGTTCGCCCCTATTCTCTACCTAGGGTTGTTGGCAAAACGATGATATGGAGTTAGATGTAAAACTAGGAACATGATAAAACCTTGGAATTGTATTACAATACTCGAGCCACGATTAAGTCATCATTTTTTGCCAACGTCTTGTGACAAAAAGTTACGGCTAGGAGTCGAGGACTAATCTTACAAATAATCATCATTGTGGCAACAACCTTCTAGTGAGAACAAACATGCAATTTTCCCCACAGCTGTCTAGCACAGAAAGTAATGTTGCGATTAATTATGGTTCCGACAATGACCACCAGGTGCTTCGTGCTCTTCGAGCCGTTCAAGAGTGACGTGAAGAGTGCCGAGTCATGGCAGACGCTGCTGCAGCGTCTGCGACAGCTCATCTTGCACGGTCTCAATCGCTACCTGAGCCGCTTCGAGGAGAACATGCGCTCGCAGCGTGAGAAGCGCACCGTGCCCGGCTGGAGCTTCTGCAACTACTTCATGCTGCAGGTGAGCTGACATGCGATGCCGAGAGAGAGAGAGAGAGAGAAAACGAGAGAGATGAAGTCATTCTGGGGTCATCCCTCCTCTCTTGGCTTCGGGTGGTTGGCAAGTGGCGCCATCTAGAGGCAGGACTTGGCAGATTCAGTTGGGAGCGTAGGTTGGGTGAAGAGTTTGCAAGGAAGTGCCATCTGGTGGTCAGACTTGTTATTTCCCTTTAAGAAATGTACATATGCTGTGGGAATTCCACTATGCGTAATAAAAATCTGAAAACGTTGAAAACACTACTGCTATCGATCTTTAAAAATTATCTTCTGCATTTGATGAACAGGCTTGCCCCTCCTTGTTGTATTTAGTTTTGAATATAACACTATGGCCTTCACCATCTTGCTGCAGATATTTACTATCTGAGGCTGGGAAGTCCACTCGGGATGCCTCGATGAAGTTATTTCTACCCCTGCATTCGTGTGTATAATGTTTTTATGCATGGGGCCATTTGTCAGCTGGTTCTTTCGTGATGCCAGAGGTCTGAGCAGAAGCTTTGTTTATCTACAGGAGGAGCTGGCGTTTGTGTTTCAAATGCTGGGACAGTATGAAGATGCACTGGTGCAGTATGATGAACTAGATGCTCTGTTCACGCAGTATGTCGTTAACTACAGTGCAGGAGGTAAGAACGTTAGACGCTGAATAGCCCTCCTGTTGTGTTACGTGGCGAGTGACGCTCGGCAGTCAGAGAGTTTTTCAGTCCAATTACAGAAATGTATGGAAATGTGTTGTTTTGTATGACTTGCCACAGTTGCCATAAAAAGTCTGGTTCCCAACTTTTACCCCAGAATGCCTCTAACATTCACATTTTTCAGAAATCCCACTAGTCTACAAGTATAATTATCTACTTTGAATACCACACTCATTCTAGACCTTCTTATTGTATTTGGCAATGTTGGCACATTGTTATTCTACAAATTCTTATTCTTATTTTTTTTTTCTGCGACTTTCTTTGGCATGCATCTCCTCCTTAACTGTAGGACCTATCGGTATGTAATTTTGCTGGAGGCAGCATTAAAATTAAAGGAACTGAATAATATACTGTAATAAAGGATAACTGAAACAATGCCTGTGCGTTGTTGCATATTTGAGCTTGTACAGTGCTGCCACCTATCGATCTATAACCATCGCCTGCTACTAGCAAATATAACTGCGTTGCTCTCTGACCTTCTTTCCCGCTGGCTCTCCCTGCCTCTCGTACACGTTCCGTATAAAAACTTGCCTTACTTAAAATGCGAATATATTGCTCCATATACAGAGCTAAGTGTTACATTCATACCTAGAAATAACAGTGGCCCGTATCCGCGTTCGCACGCAGAATTTGCTACAGAGTATATAAACTACTTGTAGATTAATGACAATCTTGGTAATTTCCAAATACAGTGTTCGCTCTTGCAGCGAAGACAGCCCTCTAGTTAGATCAATAGTAGAGAAACTATCCGGCTAGTGTTCCCACTAGCGGCCGTACGCCGGTGCGGGCTCTGCAACTCCCGACCATGGAAGTCCAAGTCCCGTCACCAGAGTGCGGCCAAACACTTCCAGGCGGAGCACGGCATCGCCAACATCAGCACCGTAGGCGTCTTTCTGTTCTGTCAGGCAGAATGCCCTACGGTGACGGCGGCGGGGGAGCGCCGCCACATAAAGAATTGTCGTGAAAAACCAGCAGGAGATGTGAATCTAGTCACAGCTACCGAGCTACACAACAGCAGGCTGATGCTGCTCTAACCCCCTCTGCAACTGGGCCTCTCAAGCAACGCAAGGAACTCGAGTTGCCACGTCGCTAGAACACCACCTCTCCAGAAAGCATGGGTGCGACGTTACATGTCACTGGAGGTGCTCAACCTGTCGGGAGGAATTTGACGGCTACCGCGCCCGCAACCATCAATGCAGTGCGGCCACTGTGGAAGAAGCTGATCCAACCTCGCCCCAACCAGACCCGATCAGCTCTCCGACGCCTCTCGGAGAGTCACCTCACATCTCGGCCGACTCCACAAGAACGGGTTGCTGGCTGACGGACTCGGAAGTCACCTCCATCTTTGATGCCTTGGCGGGACAAGACCTGATCACCACCTGCTCTACGCACCTGGTCTCCGACATGCCACCGAACTGCTTCCTGGAGGAAAATTTAGTCGACTTCCATCACCCCTGTTTCTTGGCACCGGTCAACGTCATCGACCAACACTGGATCCTACTATGGGCCGACCTCACCTCTGGTGCTACGTGCCTGGTCGACCCACTGGAGGCCAACTCTACGCCTGACCACGAACAACTCCTACGGAGACTTCTCCCCAGGCTTCAGACCTGGGCAGACCTCAGTGGCTTCGTCTTCCCCCTGCACCAGACAAATCCACCGCCGCACCAACTGCAGCCTAACAGCCATGACTGCGGAGCCTTTGTCGCGGTCTACGCAGAGAGGATTGCCGGCAATCTACCGCTGGCTCTCATATCCACAGAGGAGATCTGCGACGTACGCATCAGGATGCATGCTCATCTAGAGACACCGCCGGGCACGCCTGCCCTGCTGGATGAGTTGCCTCCTGACACAATGGAGCTCCCATTGCCTGCCGCGCTGGACCAGTCACTGCCTTCATCACAAGATCTGCTGGACCATGCAATGCCTGTCTACCTGGACAAGTCCCTGCCGGTCCCTCCAGACTGGTCCCCACCTCCACATCCAGTGGCGGCCGTGGTGGAAACACAACCTTCCCTGACAGATCCGGTGGGCGAGGACGGCGCTCTGCACGGGCCGCAGTCCTGCTGCGAGTTCTGGTCGGCGCGATTCGATGCATGCGCCTCCCTAGAGGACTTAGAAAGAGACATTGGTGAACTCTCCAGTGCCTGGCTGGACCGGACCAGGCGCCACCTAAAGGAGCAGGACCCTGGGCCCACTAGAGTAGCACGCCCCCAACAGGGGCAGACACGCCGACCACCGTTTATGGTTCCTCCGGTCTACGTATGAGAGGCCAGCGTTGTCCCCAGCGGCTTTAGACCATGCTCTGCGCGCATTCGACTTGTGCGCCTGGACGGCGCCATCCCGGGAACAGCTAGATCTCCTGAGTGGACCGCCGACCCGCCACGAAATAGCCGCCCGTATGAAGCGGGCCTCCAATACAGCACCAGGAGCAGACCGCCTGGAGTACAGGCACCTCCGCACAGTGGACCGGCAAGGTATCCTCATGGAGAGGATCCTGAGTGCCGTCCACCGACTAGGGATCCCCGCCGCCTGGAAGGAGAGCAGAACGATCCACATACATAAGAAGGGGCCAACAGACGATCTGGCTAACATCCGACCAATCAGCCTGCTCACCACTATCTACAAGCTCTTCTCCGAAGTTCTGGGCTCACGCTTGACGCGAATCACAGTCGAGCTAGGCTGGATCTCCCCAGAGCAGAAGGGCTTCCTTCCGAGCATCCGGGGCATCCAGGAGCACACACACCTGCTACAGTCGGCCATTAAAGATGCCAGGCGAGACAGACGGGACCTTGCCATCACGTGGCTAGACCTGTCGAACGCTTTCGGTTCAATCCCTGAGGGAGTACTGCACCATGTTTTCGAGAGCCTGCCGATTCCAGCAGACCTGAGACGTGTCCTTCTGGACGTCTACACAGACTCGGTCTGCAACTTTCTGGCGGGCAGGGACTCCTTTAGGATGCGACCGACCGCGGGTGTTCGGCAGGGCGACGGCGTGTCGCCCGTCGTCTTCAACCTGGCGACAGAGCCTCTCCTGCGTGCGGCCAAGGACCCCTCGGGACTGGCTTCCAGCTCCTGGGACGCACCCTACGCACAACCATCTACGCCGATGACTCCACCCTGCTGGGGAGCTTAGTGGAAGATCAGCAGACCTCCCTGGATCGAGTGTCGCAGGCCGCAACCACACTCGGCCTCCACACCAATCCAGGGAAGTGCGCCTCCCTGGTCATGGAGAAGGGAAAGTAGAAGACGGATGATGGGGCCCTGAAGCTCTACGGGGTCCCCATCCACTGCCTCCGCCAGGAGGAACAGGAAACATACCTAGGCATCCCTATAGGGTGCAAACTCCTGTTCCGGCCTGCGCGAACACTCCCGGAGAGGCTCGCCAAGACCCAGGACTCGCTGTTGGCACCCTGGCAGAAGATGGAGGTCTTCCGCAGCCACCTCCTCCCTTCTCTATTCAACTCACTGGCCTCTGGACGGACGGAGAAGGCCTTTCTGCAGGATATGAACACGACAATTCGAGCCTTCCTGCGTACGGTGACGAGGACCCCAGACTCTTCCTCGCAGGCCATCCTCCACGAGGAACGTCAAGCCGGTGGACTAGGCATCCTCCCCCTTTTGCAGGAGGCAGATGTCTGGACCGTGGCTCGGGCTGCCCAGCTGCTGGACTCACAGGACCCGGACGTCAGAGAGATTGCAAGGGCACAGCTTGACAGGACAGTCTCAAGGGCACTGGGAGAAGACGCCCTGGACCCCCTTCCTTTCTCGGAGTTCGCAGCTTGCAGCTCACCAACGATGGACATCAAAATTCAAAGATCTTCCTTACCAAGGCCGTATGGCTAGGGGTCTCGCTCTGGATCCCCACCCGAAGGAGGTCTCCCACCTGGCCTCCTGCTGGACACCGCTATCATTTGAGGACTGGCGCCACATACACCGATCGCGCCTCAGCCTCCTCCCAGTACGCGGAAGCCCTTGGTCTACCCTAGCGGACAAGTCCTGCTGGCGCTGCCTCACTGAGCTAGAGACGACAGCCTACGTCATCTCAGGCTGTCGATCCTCCTTTCCACTCATGACCGAGCGCCACAACGCAGTCAAGCTGGCGCTAGTCAGCATGCTCGAGGCAGCGGGTCTTCACCCACGAGTGGAGACTGCAGCCCTCAGCAACCGGCTCATCTCGGACATACAACTAGACACCCCCGACGGTCTCACCATCATCGACGTCGCGGTGGTGTTCGATGAGCCGGCCAACATGGAGCGCGCCCACACCAAAAAGAAAGAGAAATACGAAGATGTCGGCACTGTCCTCCCTCTCATCGTTGGAACGACCGGAACATGGAGAGAGGCCAATTATGACAACATCCCGGGCTACCTCAACATCCCCCCAAAAACCTGGGCAACCTTTCGGAAGAAGTCCCGTCTACTAGCCATCCAGGGCACAACGACGAACTTTGTTCATGTTAAATGTTATGAGTACCGTTTTTAGATATACCCGGCCATGTCGTATGGGTCGCATCGTGTTATCTTTTCACGAACAGTTTTATGTACTCTTTGTGTACTTCATGTACAATTTTATGTTATCATACATGTTTCATTGCTAATTCAATAAACTACTTTTAAAAACGAAAAATCTGTTCTTATCAGCTTAATATCTGATATGTCCCCTACCGGGGACCAGAATATTAAACTGATTTTTGGCATTGGGAGGTGAGGTCAGTGCTTGCACTCGCACCTCCACGGGTTGGTCTGGTATTGCAGTACCTCCAGAATCGGCCCACTCCCCATGGGAGAAAAACATAATCAAAAGACATGTAGTTTATGTACGTTTTATAGTTGTGAAAATACTGTGTTATTGTACCCCCCTTCCTTCGTCAACGAAGGGGGTATACTGGAATCACCCTGTCTGTCTGTCTGTCTGTCTGTCTGTCTGTCCGACACCAGACTTGTGCGCAGATCTCCTCGAAAAGTACTTGACCTATTTCACCATACATCATCATCATACATACATCATACATCATACATCACACCTAAGGTAGTTGTCGACCTGCAATGAATTTTTTGGGTCCGACATTTTCGGAAAGGTTTATGGCCGTTTATCGTAATTAACCCCGTTTGGTTATATATGACATGCTGACGCCATCTAGTGGATTATTTCATACATAACTGCCCACCCACTTTATACATAACTGGCCAGACACTACCCACGTACAATCAAATGCCCTGGCCACCGCGTTAATTCGTGCCAGCTGTTTGCCAAAATCGCCTCCTTCAGATAAGCGCACATATAAATAACGGCCCCACATGTGGTTATTAAGTCCATCTTCTCTCTTCTCTTCTCCCTCCCTCCCTCCCTCTGTCCTTCCCTCCCGCCCTCCTTCTTCACTGTGTGTTTCTGTATGTGTGTGTGCGTGCGTGCATGCGTGTGTGCATGCGTGTGTGTGTGTCTGTGTGTGTGTCTGTGCGTGCGTGCGTGCGTGCGTGTGTATGTGCTTGATGTTGTTCATGTTTCGCTCTGTGTTTGCTTGCGCCTTCTGTGGCAGCTGATTTTTCCCATAAAACCGTTCGTTGACAAATTCTACAATACACGTAGAGGCACCATAACAGCTCGAAGCGGGGGGGGGGTATTATTAGTCCCTCTCTGGGACAATCGTTTTAGTGTTTATCAAGTGTTGACTCATAGTATTTGGTAGTTCATACACATGCTCAAAGATATGCTATCATGTGTTTAATGCATGAAAGTAAAACAATTTTTCTGTGTGTCATATCGAATATTTTACCATTTTAAAGGCTGGCCGTTTGTTTAGGCTTAATGTGTGGTGCCCAGCGACCTGGATCGAGAAAATATTGTTAAATTAATCGGCGTCACAGCCGTAACTTGCAGCATCATCCTGAGTTTTGGACCAGAATGCAAATAATTTTGGTAGTTGCTGCTCTAGCTGCAACCTTATCTCGAGTTTTCGGGCAGACTGCCACTAAAGCTGAGAGGGTCTATGTCCTCCAGGGTACTGGCCGGAACGTACCTGGTACTATCTACAATATTGCCGCGACCGTACACTCGCCTACTCCACTAACGAGTCTAGGGAGTCGCCTACGCCTACTCCATAACTCTAACCCTAACCCTAACCCTAACCTTAACCATATCAGATAGTTACCAGGGTACGTTCCGGTATACCGGACCGTACCCAGGGTACGTTCCGGCAGTACCCTGGGGGACGGACATAGACCCTATGAGCGCCACTAAACCCAGCACGCACGAGTGATTGTTTCGGTTTCGGATCGCAGGGTGATTGCAGCTCTGCATTGCAGCTGCACGGTGACCGATTCCAAGCATCGAACAAGTTTGACATTTGCAATCGGTTGCCGTTACGACGCTGCTGCTGTCTATTCTGTGCCGCACAGATGCAATGTGTTTCATGGGTAGAAATTAACTTTTGAACAAGGGAGTCCAACGGACTGGACTCCCTGCCCTCAAAAACAGGGAGTCCGCAGCAAAATGAGGGAGTCTGTAGGTTGAAGTTCAAAATTAAAGATTTGCTGAAAAAATACGGTAATTCCGCGAGGCTGTGCTCTGGAACGAACTAGTTAGTATAGCAGAATTTTCAAGGAGTCACACGGACTCCTGCACATGTCAAATCAGGGAGTCCGGCAGTAAATCATGGAGTTTTCGCGTTAATTTCGCACCCTGTGTTTTCCGACAGACACGACTGAGTGGATGGCTACGTTCATGCGTCCGTGCATCTGCTGGGACGGACTGTCGCTCGCCGTGGAGACGAACGACGGGCGGCGTGCGGCGATCCAGCACGCGACCGCGCACCTGCTCGACTTCCGCAACTACCTGTTCTCACGACAGTGCGCGCTGCTGCTGACACTGCGGCGGCCGTGGGAGGTCGCGCAGAGGTCACTGCCGTTCATGCACAACTGCGTCAATGAGTTGAACCTGCTTGAGGTGAGGAGCAGCAGATCGCCCCCTCCGTCGCCCGCGACAACGCCTCGCCGTGTTCTCCTAGCTGATCTTATTCGCATGTCTCTTCAACAGGTTGCTCACTTCTCTCACGATGTCTCTGCATGTTGTAATGTCAGTAAGTCACTAAATTACTCACTGCTTCCACAGTGTCTGTCGAGTGTCCTGTCCCCATATTTGTAATGTCAGTAAGTCACTAAACTACTGACTGCTCCCATGGTGTTTGTTTTTGGGTAAGTCACCAAGTTACTGGCTGCTCGCATTGTGTCTGTTTAATGTCCTTGTGTGTGGCTGGGTAAGCAAATAAATCAGTGACTACTTCCACAATGTCTGCCTAGTGTCTTTGTGTGTTGTTGTGTAAGTTCTAAATTACAAACTACTCACTCATTGTCTGCTTTGTGATCTTGAGTGTTTTTAGGAAAGACATTGACTACTGCTGTAATGTATTCCTAGTATCTGTGTGTTGTTTGGCAAACCGCTGATTACTCTCACAGTGTCTTTGTGTGTTGTTTGGTAGGGTACTTTTTACTCGCAGTGTCGGCTTAGTGTTTCCCTGTGTCTTTCATCGAGTCACTGGTACTGACTACTTCAACAGTACCTACTATCCTTGTATGTCATTAGGGAAATCACTCCAATAGCATCTTCTTGTTGAGGTAGCGGCTAGGTAGCCACGTTACACCCGAATTGCATTAAATGTCACCTCCAAGTTTACCACTGTGTTCTAGTAGTGTGTGTACTAATAATGTGTACATTAGTGCATTCACTAGCAGTTTGTGTACTAGTAGTGCATTTACTAGTAGTTTGTTTACTAGTATTGCGTGTACTAGTAATACATGCAATTGTATTGTGTGTACTAGTAGTGTAGTTATTGTAGTGCATGTACTATAGAATGTGTACTAGTACTAGGTACCATAGAATATGTATTGGTAGTGTAGTTACTATAGTACTTACTAGAGTTTTATCTGTATTATATTTGCAGATTGCCATGCCAAAGGGCTCAGTATATTGCTGGGTGTTCCTCAGTTGCCTGGAAGTATTGGATAAATGCGAGAGCGCCAGTCATCTGACTGAGTTTGAGTCGTATTCGCTCTACACCGCAAGCTTGTGGAACTATGCCCGACTGAAGGTACGCCGCGGTCCCTTGTAGGAGCGATATCGAGAGTTACCGCTGGTTCGTTTGTGATTGTTTAGTGCTATACTGTGAAGGAAAACCTAGACAGTACTTCAGAGTTGATGAGGAGAGTGTGGAGCTTTTGGTTTAGCGTGAGGATAAGGCTTGGGCTTGCGATGCAAAATTAGCATTATAGTTAAGATAGTGATGTTTCTTTTGTTGTTGACCAGGAATTTGAAGCTAGCCTAGATGAGTTGCTAGAAGTCCAGGATCAGTGTTAGTTGGCACAGTTGCTAATCAATCATTTACAGTACACAATCTATTATCCGAAGTAGTCTGGTCAAAGGGCTTCGGGTAATATATTGTGTACTGTATCCTTGTTTCCTGTCTCACTTAGTTAAAGTAATGGTTTTCTTGCATATTCGACTCTACACATGTTTATGACGGTATATGACGGTTCATGACGGTGTGATTAATGCACCTATGTACATTTTCTATTGCAGCTCCATGCGCTTGGAGAATTATGTGGCCTAATGCCAGGTACAGAATCGTCGTCTGAACAACTCAACATGGTAGTCGACTTGCTGTCTGGAATGGGACAAACAGAGTCTGGAAGTAAGGTGTTTCAATTTCAAGTTTGGAGGTTTCTAGAGAGCATGCGTGTAGCTCAAGCATCATTTCTGTGCGTCCTTAAGCATATATGTTAATGAGGAATGATGTGGAATTGTGAATTGAGTAGTACTTTGTTTTAGTGAGCAGAGGCAATCATTGAATTTGTTTGCGTGGCAGATGCTGTGAGTGGTCATTGCTGCAAGACGTCAGATAGTTTGTGGTCGGTTGCATACTCACAGATTTTGACATCATTTTGCAGATTCAAAGAAGCCTGGACCCATGGACAAATTGCGGGAAGCGTTGTCTTCGGAAGAATCCTTTAGGAAACACTACCTGGTAATTTGATCATTGCTTTGCTTTTAGAGTGGGGTTAACAGTAAGTAATAGCGTTCACCTAACTAATCCCACTAGCGCTCCATACCCAGACCAACCCTCACCCATATGAAGACTAACAACCAAGGATTATTGCCAGCGGCCAGCTAGATTCTGACCACTCGGCAGCTGACACTTCTACCAAATGATGACCAGTTGTTTAGAATTGTTTTCTTTCAAATTCCATTGACCCTATGTTACTGTCTTTACTTCGTTCGATGTCAAACCTGGATTAAGCTTGGGCGACTATAGTTCGAATGAACGAATCAGGGGAAACAGGGGTATGAGGCCAAATCAGCATCTGGCATATCTCGCATACTGCCTAACTGTGTGAGTTTGCTACCTGCTTTTTTTTCCGACAGCAACTACTTGCTGCCTGGCCAAAAAATTTAGTCGAACTCAGATACATACGGGACTGTTCTATATAGTTACTAATATGATGCAGTCATGTACTAACCTGAGGCAAGAGGGCCTGTGTTTAGAGCGATGTATACATTCAAGATGGCTTTCCTTTACAGGAATTGTCAGAATTGGCCATGGGCACGTTCAAGCACATTGGTAGGCTACGGAGTGCTAGACTGATTGGCAAGGACCTCGCTGTTTTTTACATGTGAGTGTAGAATATATAATACCGCACTTGTATGAAACAGAAACTCCTATTCTTTGCTTAGCGTTATTACAGAAAAAGTCGCACGACCTATAGTGAAACCTACTTGATATGATAGGATCTTGCTGTGCAAAAATGAAGTTTACACTGTTTATGCAGTGACTCAGAATCACTTGACTTTATGGTTCACTCAGATATTGGTAGGCACAGGTTACAATGTTTATCCAAGTGTTGAAAGGTCATGTGAATTTGAGAACCAAGATGGTTGTGGTAGCCACATTTAGCAACTTAGAAGTAACTCATCAAATGCTGTGAGCATCAAGCAAAAGTTTAAACGAAATGGTCTGTTAGTCTCTAAAGACTTTTTAAGTCGAAGTATCCATGCAGAAGCAGATTCCCTGGAAAATTGTAAAATCTTTACTCCGTTTTGTGTAAGGAAATTCACATTTCGATTGCGCGACTGCCTTGGGTATCGACCCTCTGTGTGACATTTGCTTGTTACTATCCTCCCTCGCTAGGAAGCTAGGGGAGCTTTACATGGCAGAGAACTACCTACAGGAGGCACTGAAAATGTACAAGAAAGAAGGCTGGGAGAGTATGGTGGCGGACACTCGCATGGAGCTGGCAAAGTGCCAGCTGCAGCAGGGCAACTATTACAAGTATCCTTGTTGGCAGCCAACCAGACTGCTCGTGTTGCGTTTCAGTTGACACCGACCATGAATTGTGTGCGTGTATGCATGCGTGCGTGCGTGCGTTTGGCATGCGTGTGCGCATGTTCATATGTTTATCTGCATACACATGTGTGGAACTCTGTGCAGGTGTGCTTGTTTGAATAGATAGAGAAGTCGAATATATGGTATTTCTTAACGTAAACGTAGATATGTCAAGACATGTGCGCATCTAGCAAGTAGCTTGATGCTGCCAGCTGACACTAGGCAGGAATACTACGACGAGCTGATCACCACTGTGAGGACATTAGGTACATATCTGTCAGTAGTAAGCGAGATGGCATGGCGATCGTTTGTTTGAAACTGACGTAGTTGTTGTTCATTTACAAGCAATAGATTTTGTTTATTGGTAGATAAAATAGCAATTATCTATTTGTATGCAAAGTAGCTGTTAGTGAGTGGAGTAACGGGTTTTGTGTGTGGGTGGTATAGTTTATTTGCGGGTGAAATGGCTGCTCTCTGTAATAATGAATTTAGTGGATTAAAGAATGAATTCAAATTGTTGTTTTTGAACGTAGAGTAACTGCATTTTTGTGTAGCTGCTCTTTGTTTATGGTGGATATTATGCGACGTTTATTGTTTGTCGATGGATAAATCGAATGGATGGATATTCCGGATGTCGTCATGCGTCGATCATTGCTGCTCTGTTTCCATAGAAGACATAGTTCGGATGAAGGCAGAGCGTATCTTTGAGCTGACTAGTGCCGAGGTGGCTCCTGCTACCGCCGTCACCCTCGGTGACACGGTCACTGTCACCCTGCACGTCACCAACAACCTTCCCAGCGGCGTGCTGTGCAACATCGCTTGCTCGCTGCGCCACACGCCACGCGACCGGTCCGATGATGACAGCGGCGGCAGCAGCAACCAGATGCGGTCGGCCAGTGAGTCGAGCCTTGGTAGCGCGGGATGCGGCAGCGACGCGGCGTCGGCGACGGGTAGCAAGCACGCGGCAGGAGCGACGCGCGGCAGCCGGCGTCTGCGGATTCAGGTGCGCGTCACGTTACCGCCCACGTCGTGGTTCGTCCTAGAGCACAGTTAGACTGTGTGTGTGCACGTGCGTGTGTGTGTGCCTGTGTGTGTGTGTGTGCGCGCGTGTGTGTGTGCGAATGTGTGTGTGTGTGCGCACGTGCACGTGTGTGTGTGCGTGCATGTACGTGTGCGTGCCTGTGCGTGCGTGCCTCCGTGCGTGCGTGCGTGTGTTGATGATGCGTACATCATAACATGAGTATCATTTGTCTCTGCTATGCTGACAGACGACGTCGTTGCTCTCTGTGCGCAGGAGACCATCGACAGGGTGACAGGCACGGTGTACGTCAGCTGTCGCAACTCCAGCGTCGTGCTGCAGCGCATGGACAGCGTGCCGTCGCTGACCTTCAGAGACGCTGAGGTCGCCAAGGAGGATTTCTCGCACTGTCTGTGCGCGACGGCGGTCATGCTCAAGCCTGGAGCGAATGCCGTGCCGCTACAGGCGAAGGTGAGGTGCTGCTGAGAGGAAGGTAACTAGGTGGTGAGAGGAAGGTAACTAGGTGGTGAGAGGAAGGTAACTAGGTGGTGAGAGGAAGGTAACTAGGTGGTGAGAGGAAGGTAACTAGGCAGTGAAAGGAAGGTAACGAGGTGGTGAGAGGAAGGTAACTAGGTGGTGAGAGGAAGGTAACTAAGCAGTAAGAGTGGTAAATTTTTAAGACTGTATTAGGCATTTAATTTTTCACGATATATAACTTTGTGTAGTCACTGTGTGACTTCTGTTTATGTTGCAAGTTAATATAAAAATTCGCATAGCTGTGTAACTACTTTCGAATTAAAATTCGTGTGATCTTTGCTACATGTGTGTTTATGCAATTTACTTTATTCCATGCATATCCTGAGCATATTGATCTATAAGAAAACAACACGAATCCCAGATCTTAGAACAACGTATCTTGATTATCATTATATAGATAAATCGTCACACCTCTAGTCATTACGTCAGTATTTTCATGACGCCAGGGAGTAGAAGACATTGTGGGAGGTTTAGCCATGGTCATATATGTGCCACAAATTGATCACTTATAGTACCAACATAATTGTGATCAACTAGGCATTATGACTTATGCCTCTGTCAACATGAAATTACCTCCTCTAGAAAGCTATCCGTGTCCCGCGTTTTGTGGTTTGAAAGCCAATTTTGAATTTCCAAACTTGGTGTTAGGGTATTTATTGTGTTGCAATCGACTGAATCAAGTCATTGTTTCGTCTCAACAGACGGAGAAGCGAGGCAGCTACGCGCTGCGGCAGGCTTGCATTGAGATGGCCAGTATGGAGTTCCTACAGTGGCTCCACCTGCCTGTATCATACGACGTCGTCTGCGAGGAACCAACCGTGTTTCTCACACCAGATAGCGGTAGGTGTATTGTGAATGCTCGTATACGTGTTACGAATACGTGAATACTCTATTACGTGTCTCACGACCCACGTATCATGGTAACTTTCCAGTTTGCAATTTATTTCGACCACTAGATGGCGCGAGTAGCAGTAAATCTAACATCTGTGTTTGCCAGTATCTATGTGCACCCGTATCTCGTTCTCTTGCAATATAGCTGGCACGTTACTCACATCTATGTTGAGCCCATATATATATATATATATATATATATATATATAAACACCACTATATATTTATATGTATGTATGTGTAAAAAAAACGTGTGTGCTGGTGGATGAAAAGATGTAGCCATGTTCATGCAATCCGCTGGTAATATAATCAAGTGTAGTCTCATCAGGAAAGGAACACTCGTCCACCTTTTTCATGTTAAGTATACAATCAGGGTTACGGACAGGTACCTCTGTAAAAGACCTTGCAACATAACTGCTCACCAAATTCAATCAAACACATATCTATTTCATAAAAGAGTTGTCCAATTGAAAAAATTGAAAAAATTCATCGCTAATTACGTGACGACAAAAATCGTAAATTTATGCGATCTGTTTAACGTTGCAGACATGCTAGCAGGGCTGCCTCAGCATCTGGACCTGGTGCTGAACAGTGGAAGCCATGGTATAGAGGATGGGGTTGTCATCAAGATGATGTCTTCAGCTGGTCTGTCGCTGCAGGTAAGGGTAACAGGGTCTTCTTCTGCTTTGTCGTAGTCTCTCGTGGATGGTCCACACTGAGACGTCAGCTAAGGGCTGACCTCCCTGTTGATGATTCTTCTCCACCTCCCTCGATCGACTGCATCGATCGTACATCATCAACTTGACTTTCCATGTGTTTATGGTGGATTTTTACTGGTTGCATGGCCTTGCTAACACCAACCACTATTATCGGTATAGTGTGTCCTAGCCCTTGCCTAAAAAGGCACACTCTGCAAGGCAGTAGGTGGTTTGAAATCAGAGTTTTCCTTCTCCTAGACACTGTGACCTCGCAGGCTAAGGATTATTGCCAGTACCCAACAGTTTGGTCCGCGACTGCTTATTTGGATATTCGCAGCTAACCTATATATCTACAGGCTGTTCGGCTATCTGCCACCCACCGACATGCCCCGTGGCAGATGTTAGCTGCAGGTAATCGGTTAAGATTACCCTTCCTGGGGGAAGGGTAACAGGGTGATAGCTGATAATTGCCTGGTTATGTATGATCATAATACGAATAAGGTATCCTGCTGAGCATGGTATATAGTGTAACTCTTAAAGGTAATGGTAAACTCTCCTAAAATTACATTTAATTTTAATTAATATTGCTAATGTGAATAAAACTTACTATGAACTGAACTAACTACGAACACTAGATTGTAATTGGAACTACTTACAATGGTGAAATTGGAGAGAATAGATTACACATCGCCATAGAAACAAAATTATGTGTGTATTTCTAAATGGTTGACGTTACATTCTCATGATGTGTGTCGTACTGACATTTACTAGATTGTGTCAAGAAGATTGTGGGTAGCAGCGGTACAATGTACAGTGCTATGAATGTCACCCCATCCCCCAAGTCCAGGACTGGTAACCTTGAGCAGAACTAGCGCTAGTTTTCTTAATTTCACTGTAGGCTACATAGTAGACACATCAAAATATTCGAAATCTGAACTGGTTGGGTTTTCAGAGTTACGTCCCAGACTAGACTGATAGTACAACAGTTGGTCGCAGGCTCTTGCAGGAGTCTCGTTGCACGTAAGGCTTTATTCTACAATTCGTTGTCGTGCAGGTGGAGAGTGGTGCCGTCACGATACTGGACCAGAAGGAGACGTCTATGATGCTGAAGCTGCCGGGTGTTGCGGCCTTTGAGACGCTAGCCATTGCCATGACCGCCGTCGCCGACCTAGCATTCTCACGCAGCCAGAAGGTACGTGCGTGCGTGTTAGACTCAGAGGTGCTAGTGTCGACCTAAACTGGAGCAAGTACTGTTCCACAATTCTAATCACGCATGGGTAGAACGTACGATTTACTGACTATAGTGCCCATGCATAGGTGAAATGCGAGTGAGGGCAAATTTGTAGAAGGTTAATTTAGGATGAATTGGTTTACCAGAGGTCAGTTACTGGACAATCAAATCAATTCCAGTGTATTATGAGGCATTTCCAATGTAGCTTGATATTATGCTCGTTATCTTTCAAATCTCAAGCGAACGCACAGTCGATGTGCGAATAGGAAACACCGACAACTGGCGAAATGCACGCACATGTCTATTCCTGATCACAGAGACACAAACCACAGTGTGGGATGGGGCATTCTGTGCTCACGCTGCTACATGGATATTTCTCTTTTAGATCATGCTGTACTGTCCGTGGAGTGATTCGGCACCCTATGAGCTCTGTGTCTCGCTCCTGTCTCCCTTCACCGTGTCCCACTCACTGCACACGACAGGAAAGAGGTAAAGGTCATGGCGTTTGTGCTTTATATCATCCTATTTGCTCGACTTTTCGCGTCAATATTTTACTGCTGCTGTTGCGGCAGCGGCGGCACTGATGGCCACAACGGTGACAGACTGACGTTAGTGTGACAATGAGAATAGCAGTGATTGAATCTGACATTGTGCTAAATACACATATCAATATTTACTAGTACGTACAAAGTCTGTCTGCAAAAGTTGCGACATCATACGCTCATGCTGTCGCATTGATTTACGCCATTTCTTTTAACGAATCCCTGACAGAATGCTGAAATATCGTCTGCCAATGAAAGTCATCGTTGAGAAAAAGGCGATAATTCAGTGAGCGGCGCGACGACCTCCGTTTGTTTTCAAACGCCACTTGTTTTTATCCCGCAGGAAGTTTGTGCAGGTCGTCATCCACGGAGAGTGTGGCGAACGATTCAGCTTCGAGCGTCCATCGCTCGCCGCCACGGCAACCACCACCGACGGTCGTGCCGTTGACTTCACTGACCTCAACATTGCTGGTCAGGTCGCGGTGAGTGCAGCGTTAGTAGGTTGGTGTTTGTTCAGCGTGTTTTCGCCACATTCCGCCTAGCCACTTCATTATTGAGCAACATTTTTAGATTGCCTTTATTGCAATGCTGATTGGCTATTTGTCAATCACCGCAGGTGGGTTGGTCAATTCATGCGTGTCTTTACACTGGATAAGAACAGAGTGTCCTCATTTTGTATTATTTTATCATCATGTATTCATACTACTGTGGTATGTTCAGTTAAATTTGGTCTGACATTTACTTGTGTGATGTTATATATTTGCATATAATGTGCAATGAACTGAATCTCTGTCTTATTTATGCATGTTGTAAAATGGGGTGTGCTAACAGGTGGTGAGTAAGGATCAGAATCTATCATACATCTGGAGCTTGGAAGATGAATCCATTGAGGAAGTCGACAACCTGGAGTTGGTGTTCTCTGTCACCTACAAGTGGCTTTCAAGCAAAATTGAAGAATGCTCACCGAGGCAGTGTGGCTACCACTTTACCCTTGCAAACTTCAAGGTGAATTTGACATTTTCTCATCTGCGGTTATGCTAATTATAACCTACTCATTTCTAAAAGAACCTATCATCCAAAATTCTAAGCCTAAAACCATCCCTAATCATAGCCATAGCCTTCAGAATTATTGCATTTGTAGCCCTATATGCCTGATTCTGTTTCTAGAGTTATTCAGCAGGCCACTAAACAAGCTCATTGCAGAAACTATTCAACTATTAGCAAAACCAATTGATGTGTGATCATCATAGACTATTAACTGTTAAAAATTTTGCAGGAGTGTAATATTGTTTGTTTAAATGAAATTGCTAGTGTTTTAAGTGTGTTCGCGAATTAAATTGCTATACAAATAGATTTGTTACTGATTTTGTTTGCGTCATTCAATTTGTTAGGCAAATATGTTACTGCCTGATTTTTGTTTGCATTAATTACATTTCAATACAAATAGATTAGTAACCAGTTTTATGTATACATATTAAATCGTTACATGAGTATATTAGCTAATGATTTTGTTTGCATAAATTTGATTGCTGCACAAAAAAATTAGCAACCAATATTCTTGTCATCACTTTAGTTGCTACTAAATTAGCAACCAATATTTGTACACCTAAATTAAAGGCTCACAATGCGCATCCAAACGCTAATTTCTCCAGTACTAGACTAGCAAATACTTCGTGTCATGCATAATCACACTACCTTATGAAACTCTAGTTGCTCCCATTTCACTGCGCGTTTGCTTAAAACCCACAAGAAAGAGGTGAGAAAACTGGCATTCTGGCGCAAACGCCGACTGTTTCCCAAACAAAATAGCCTCGAAGTGGTGACGTCACGTCACATGTTTTTATCTTTGCTGCGCCCGTACCGCTGTACCGCTGCACCGCTGCACGGTTGCTTGGGGATTGGGGAAACTGTCAACAACATCGGAGAATTTCAACAACATTGGAGGTATTTTCAAAATACCTTTTATAAGACAACGCGCAGTGAAATGGGAGGAACTAGAGTTTATTTTGCCATAAGGTAGTATGATTATGCATGACACGAAGTATTTGCTAGTCTATAGTACTGGAGAAATTAGCGTTTGGATGCGCATTGTGAGCCTTTAAATACCTTCACATGTATATTAACAGCAGTGTCAAACAGTCTGCTTCTCATCCGTGTAGGAAAATCACAATTTTGTCGCGGGATCTTGTGAAATGGTGTTAAAGTGTACCTTAATCACTTTACTTGTACAGACTTTGCTGAAGTTTTTTTTCTGGTATTTATTTTTTCTTCATGTTGTCTTAATCACTTTACTAGTACAGAATATGCTTAAGGTTTTGTTTGTTTTGTTTTTGTATATATTTTTTCTTCATGTTGTATAGCATTGTATTGTACTGTATCAGTTGGAAATTTTACCATTTTAACTACTGCTGATAGAGTCTATGTCTCCCTGGGGTACGGTCCGGTATATCGGAACGTACCCTGGTAATTATTTGATATGGTTAGGGTTAGGGTTAGGGAGTAGGCGTAAGCGACTTCCTAGACTCGTTAGTGGAGTAGGCGATAGTACCAGGGTATGTTCCGGCAGTACCCAGGGAGACATAGACCCTGGCAGCTTAACGACTCAACACTATTGCTTTTATCAGATTTTTTCTCCACGAAAAAAACTGTCGTCAGTACATGTATTTGTATCTGAATTACATGCTATAAAGATTTAATAATAATAATAATAATAATAAACCATGTTCTGCTGCAGACGTTCTACTCTGTGACGTCGCACGTAGAACCCGTCTCAGGAACGGCGTTCTGCCGGGCCGGTCACATGTGTCGTCTGCACGTCGACATCTCCATGGTGACGGAAACGACGAACGTGTCTCTGATGTACGAGGTGATAGCCGATCAGACGATGTGGGCCGTCTGCGGACGAACAGCCGGTGCGTGCGTCGCAGGATGCTGGGCAGGAACCATGCCTCTGAGTGTCTTGTTGGCTTTTACTGCTTAATCTCTTCTCTCCCCCCTCCTCTACCTCACTCGCTCTCGCTCTTTCTCTCTTTCATATGTATATATATATATATGGGTGTGCGTGTATGTGTGCGTGCATGCGTGAATGGCAAAATAATGTTTTTCCTGATCCCTCCTAAACTGCTTAGCTGGGCTGCGATATGATCATTTTAAATCTGGCCTTGTGATGTGATCTTTCCCTGTTATCTTCCTCTACTACTCCGGTTTTTATTACGATTTTTTATTTCCAATTTTTTATTGCTTAATTTTTTTAATTGATCTGCAGAATCTACAGAATGTGGGATTGAGTGTGGTGGCCATTGCATGGCCATGAATTCAGTATATCTCTATACTATTTGAATAGATACCTGTCTGCAGTTTGATAATCATAACTCGTTATTGGATACTAAATGTTCATGAATGGTATGTTTATACTTGGAATATCATTTTGCTAAACTCTCACCACAATAATAATCATTTGCAGGTGTCGTTACAATTAGTGATGCTGGCCAGCACCAGGTGTCACTGGATGTCATGCCTTTGGTTGGAGGCTATCTACCCTTGCCAGAAGTGAAACTTTCGAAGTACATCAAAGCTGAGCGTAGGTTGACATTATAATTATGAACTTTTCATATATCCTATTTTTCAGTTATCCTATTTTTCAGTTGTGTGATAGTTGATCTTACTAGTTGTACTTTTAAAAAGAGAATGGTGACTTTCGAAATCTACCGATTCATAAATTTAAAGCATTAGTGTGTGTACATTTGCTTCACCATGGCAGTTTCGCCAAAGTGTTGTGTTAAAGTAGTCCATCTGACAATAGCAGCATTCGTACTACAGCACCAACTTTTATAGCTGGATGCACTGAATAGTAGAGTAAACTTGCCTGTGTCATGTGCGCTAAACTTAGCTGTTGCTTACCAGGTACGGGATCCGGAGACAGTGGCAAGGCACCCTCGTCACCCGTGGACGGCCTAAATCCCTCCTCCCCCATCCTGGCCAGCACCCCTCGAGTAGGGACGTCAGCTAAGAGCTCACCTGTGCACCTGCCCGTCCCACGGCTGGAGGGGTTTAGTAGTGGGCAGGTGTACAACCGTAGTCAGGCTCTACAGGTGCACGTTCTACCCGCGAGTAACACTAGCTTGCTCGAGACATCGACGTAAAGACGAGCACGCATGTAACGACTGACACATCGCTCCTGAGGCAAATGTCCCGTCTCTGCTGCACTTGGGAAACTAAGTAACGGGTCTGACTCGGATTTTACCTTTATTTCCCATGTGCAGTGTAGAGATGGGACGTTTGCCATTTAGAGGGATGTGTACTATGCTACACCAGCTATGCAGGTGTGCATACTAGCTGTCACATGTTACCTGCTAGAAACACTAGAGACCTCAGCATAAGCACAGGTACGCATGTTATGAGCCATGCAGTCACACCTACTACAAGCTAGTAGCACGTACTAGCTAGCTATAGTGACGTCAGCGTAAACTCGAGCAGGCGTGTAACCAGCCACACAGTTACATAGCCAACCTTCTAGCAATACTGACCTGTTAACCTGGGTTTACACTGCCAACTTTACATTGGCGAATTGGCGAGTTGGACCAATTTTGCAATTCGGCAACTCCGAGTTGGCGAAAATAGAACATGTTCTAAACTCCCAACTAGTTGCTATCGATCGGTTAGTTGCGCAACTTTTGCGTTTACACTGCCGATTGTCGGTTGTTGAGTTGGGAAGTTGATCCAATTCGCCAATTCGCCAACACAAAGTTTGTAGTGTAAACCCAGCTTGAGAGACATCAGGGTGAGCATAAGCACTAGCTAGCTATATAGCCATCAGTGTAAACACATGTAACCAGCCACACATGTACGTGTACTACCAGCTAATAACATTAGCCAGCCTGCTAGTTGACTTGGCATGAACACCGGTACACATTTAACCAGTCACACAGTTACATCTACGCACGGCTCTAGCTACACGAGACATCAGGGTGAACGAAGGTGCAGTCGTGTGGTAAGTTTCTACACACTCTAGTTTGTTAGAGACATCAGGGTAAACAGTAGCGTGAATACATGTAAACTTCCATGTAAACTAGCTTATCAGAGACATCAAGGTAAAACAGATGAACCTCTTACTTGCTAGCGACACTAGTTCGTATGCACTCTAGAAGCTAGGGACCTACTAACAAGTACCTCATACATGGGTGCTTACGCCAGCTAAGTGACGTGTGCTGTTGATAGCTTTCATGTGTTTAAATCTGGCGGTGGGCTTTACTGAACGTGATCGGCACAACATTAGGGGACAGATTAGGACCATTAGTGTTAATATGCGTCACAGTGTTGCCTTAAATTCGAGGCGTTTTAAGATGTGTATACACACCAGTAAGTATTAGCAGTGGGTGTGCTTGATCTGTTGAAACTGGCAAACAGACAAGATGCAGTCGTGAGCATCTTCCCATGATTTCCGTGAGATTCAACGATAATAGTGAGAGTTATTCAGTTCGTGTCCACCAAATACGTGTAGGAACTACTAGTCTTTGACAAGATACAAAACCCTCTTGCCCCGTGTAAAGGACATACGGCTGAAATCAATGTAGTAGGCTGTGCATGTAGGTAGGCAATGTAGGTATGCTGTGATGGCCAGCCCAGGTGTAGGGGGGGGGGGGTACAGTTATATGGAGAGGGTGCCTACAGTATTGTGTAATATTTGCTAGAACGTGGCATTTTACTCCGAGACCGGTCCTGGTGACCGTTTCGCTTTTGTCGCTTTTGTACGATAGCACTGATGTTGAATGTTAGATATTAAAAGCTCTAACCGTGTATTCCTTCACTCCTGCTGCAGCGACCTATAGCATGGGGGGGGGGGCTACACGGTTAGAGATAGTGTTAATTAATATAACGTGGTTGCTCTCGAACACTTGAAATAGCTTGCCATAAAATTGTATAAATATTATTGCTGCTAACTGTAAATATTCTGCTGTATAGTAAGCACATATATAATAGAAATTTGAGTGGAGGAGAAATAATGTAGTTATCACTATATACGTTGTTGTGTTGTTGTCGTATTACATGTTAAGCGTTTGTTACTAGACTTGTGGCATGGCTAGGTAAAAATAACGCAGCTTTGAATATAAATGAAACCACTCCAATATGTTATTAATTTGACATATGTGAAACATACAAAAAGTATATATAT